TCAGGTGCGCTCAATAGTCCAGAATTTACGGTATGTGTATTTAAATTGCTCACATAACAATAGAACCTGGTTTGCCTTTAAACTCAAAACCACTCATTCAGCTGGCCTATCCATGATGTGTAACAGCCTGGAACCCCCTCAAATCTGAATGATGACCCAGTGGAGAGTTTGGATGAATATAACCCCATTGGTTACAAAATTATTAATCCAAATAAAACATTAAAAGGAAAGAGAGCGGAAGTAAGTACCTTCAGCAGGGGCAAGGCTGCTTTACAACGAGCAGTTTTCATGTTCTTCAGAAAGTGACACTCATCCTGCACAGAAAGACAAAAATACACTCCCTGAGTAACTACTTTCAACTGAAAAAATAAGAAAAAAAATTCCGAATCAACTGACAAAGGATTTGGAAACCAGAACTAGCCCAAAAAGTCGAGCTGGAAACAGCCCCGTTAAAACAACAGCTCACCATGATGAGAACATTGAAGGGTTTTCCTTGCTGCTGCTTCTCCATCCGACTCAGCAGGTCGTAGCTGATGATGCTGATCAAACCGGACCGCAGATTGTCTTTGGCCTTCACCACCACATTGATGCTGTCAGGACTCAGGGAGGGGAGCCAGCGTCTGAAGGCCTGCAGGGATATACGGTGGTTCATACACGAGGCGTAGAGTCAGGCAACACACCTCAGAGTGAGAGTACAGGTTTTCTTGATTTAATCTACTCCAACCACTTGGGATTTTCTGAAATTTATTGCCAACAATATTTTGCAGCTAACAGCTGGGCTTCTGCTACTAATCAATAATATTTCATGCTAACACACACTGTAACAATGTTCCCATTTAAAAACAATCAATTGTGGCTTCGAAAAATGCCCACTGCGGCCCAGATGTTTCTAACAATTCCCTTTTTCGCTCATCATTCACTTGTCGGCTTGGTCTAAACTCAAAAGCACAAGAATAACAGCGCAGATAAGGACCAAGCGAGACAAAGTAAGCGTCCTTTAATGGGACGACATCCTGTGACTAAACTCTCCTCTGTGATTTCAACTCCTGATTGGGAGACTTGTGTTTGATCCAAGATATCTATTTAGAGAACAGACTGCCTTGTCTTGTCAATAGACAGAAGGCCAAGTGAGGCTTGTCTGAAAATGTACTGCGAGAGCAGCCTGGCAACGCTGCTGCACATTAAGCAAAGAATAAATGCTACAGAACATGAGACAAGCAAACAGACACCCGAGACGAACTCTAAAACCAGAAAGTATTGAAATCGTAGAAGGAAAACAAGGACAAAGAGGTGCTGACATTCCAGCCTGTCTGCTTCTTTACAGCATGCGATAAAATAAACAAAAGCACAGAAAAAAAAAATCTCAAATAAAAACAGGTATTTTTTTCTCAGTGCACTGAGTTCATTTTCAGTTACATCAAGTAATGTGCATATGGTAATGTGGTGAATTTAAATGCAGATTATGTTCTCGATGTTCAGCACTTTCTAATTACTGGTATTGTGTGTGGTGTTTTTCTGTTTGTTTGCTTGTTTCTTACTGATTCCTGATATTTCTATTTAATTAAAAGGCCACAAATTGAGCCCTTTTTCAGCCACTTAATATAAGTCTGTGTGCTCAGAATGTGGCTTTCAATTTTTCAGCATAAAATACTGCAAAGATGGTTGTTTCACCATGACTGTATAACCCCAGGTTTTAGCCCTGCTCTACTCTGTTCATTTTACATGGAAATATAGGATTATGCAAAGTTTGAGCAAAGACAACTACGGGTTTTTCGGCTGGAACGTAGCAGCTCAGTAAAATTCTCTGGCTTGTAAAGCTGGAAGGCTATCTCGCTGTGTGTGTCTCCTCTCTATCTGTAGTCAGCAGTCTGTGTTCTCCAGCAATGTACCACCCACAGCACTATCTGATTGGTTACACATCATGAATAACAGCCCATTCAATACTGAAGGATGTATACCGAAACACTCTCTCATAATCAAACGTATGAAAAACATCAACAAAATTCATTTCAAGGAAGTTTAAATCTAAATTTTAACAGCAAGATTTTCATTCTTATTGCAAACGTATATTGCTCCAAATACAGCTGATTACTAATTGGTGTCTGCCCTTAAAAAAAAACATGGCGGTAAACCCCCCAATCAGAATCATGGATAATGAAAATAATCATTGGTTGCAAAATCTTCAATTTCAGGAAAAAAGCAGATCGTGGTCAAAGACAGACTTCGAGAAAGTAGCCAAATAATTCCAGTGTATTAACACGTCCATCTTAAATCAGCGCTCCACAATTCCAATTATCAACAGCACCCACGAGACAAAGAAATGGAGGCATGAAATTCAATGCAGCCATCTTCCGACTGAAGATAAAGTACCTCACAGAATACAAGCAGTCCTGGGGGAACAGGATTAACATTCCTCAAATGCAGAGAGATTTAAGCAGAAGCCAACATTATAATGTGGAGGGCAGAGCGTTCGTCAAAGGAGACCATGAGGATATCTTTAGGACGGTGTCTGCTGACTTAAAGCGCACACATCATTATACCGTTAAATAGTAGCAAAGTGATAAACTTTCCCACCTATGTATGTAATCAGCTGTTTTTCTTCTGGCTACAAAACTTAACAGACACAGCCTGCTGATTTTTTTTTTACCTCAGCCCAGGTGAATCGTACAGAGGAGGGAGCCACCACCAACAAAGGCCACTCATTCCTGTAGTAAGCCGCTATGCAGATGGCCTGTATCGTCTTACCCAGGCCCATGTCATCAGCCAGGAGGAGGCGGCCTTGTTTAGACACTGCAAAACTACAGGGACGTAAAAGCATCTTTTAATTAAAAGCTCACACTTATGTGACCTTTTTATGATATCACAGCAGTGGCACACAAATCTTGACTTATCATGTTAAATATCTCTTAATTTGTACAATTACATGTGATTAACTGTCTCCTGGTATTGAGTTTTTGGCTACCCGATGCAGACAGAGCACTAATGGCTGGCCCAAAAGGCACCTACTTGACTCCCTCCCTCTGGAAGGGCATGAGGCTGCAGGTGAGTGAAGGGTCGATGCTGGAGAGGTCTGCCTCAGGGACGTCTAAAGACCTGGCTTCAGTCCCATCAAACCTGGCAGAGAAAGCCTGGATTACTGCCCTGGGCAGAGGCTCCACCTCCACTGCTGCTATCCCACTGAGGAGGTCCACTGGGTGTGGAACACAGCACGGTTAGACAAGATGGCAAAAGTAACAGCGACAAAAAGGAACACAATCACAGAGCAGCTAAATAAAGCAAACGCTACTCACTGAGTCTCTTGTAATCCTCGAGCGAAAAGCTCCACTTCCTCGTTTTCATGTCTGCAACACAATCAAAAAAACACAACAAAAAAAATCTCACATCAGAAGCTGTTACAGCAAATTCAAGTCGACTGTCAAGAGAGCAGAAATAATCCTGTAAAGTCACTCTTACCGTAGCTCTTAGTTGGCATTTGCTTGAACGCTGCAATGACATCAGCATGGTAACCGATGTCGACCTCAAACTTTCTCCGACCCACCAGGATGCACTGGCCCTCCACAGCGGCTCCAGGTTTCTGCCAGCCATTGCACAGTTTGAGCAGCGCCGCCAGTGCTGCACCGTCACGAGTTCGGCTGGTGGCTGCTGCAACGTCCACGGCTTCCATTCCCTCCAGAGGCCTCAAAGACACAGAGGCAATGGCAGCCGCCTCCTCCACTGCAACACGGGATCAGGAAGACAAATATTATAAATCAGGATTTTAAATTAAGTTTGTTTAAAAATGATCTTCTTACGAATACTTTAATTTCCATACTTAGCTGTTGATAGTCTCCCAGATTGAAGTTCCACATCTTGGTGGCAGGGTCTGTGGCAGAACAGAACACTTTATCCCTCCCATATAGTCTACAAACATTAGGATCAACATATAGTGCAGAATAATTCCCTTTTGAAATTGGTATTTCTGCATTAGAAAATGACACTAATTAGGATGAAAGACTTGAGTACCTGGCATGTGCTACAAAGGAGAGTTCTCCCCTCAAAATAGCAGGTTACATGGCTTCTATAGTAATGAGTTCAGTCATACGTTATTTGTTACGTCTTGGAGATTAACCTGATTACGTGGGCAGAGGGGTGGAATGCAAAGCAAGATTAATGCAAGGTATGTTGAGCCTAAAGCCAGAGTTTTCAAAGTCACGAAGGCGGCTCTCTGTTACCATGGTAACCTATGCTGCAGCGCTAACCTGGGCTGGTGGAGGTTCGGTTCAGAGTTTGGGGATTTAAACTGGCTGGAAGAAGCGGCACCCTTCCACCAGTCCTTCTTTTCGTGACCATATCCTCTCAGAGGCACTCATTTTCAGCTGAGAGAACATCTGCAAACCTGTTGAGCCGTATGTCAGTAAGGCCACTGAATGAAGCTGCAGCAGACAAACTGGATGACGTGAACCTTCATGAAGTCCGTTGCAGAAAATGCATAAATAAGTTTTTAAGCTTAGTCCTAAATTTGCTGCCAAGTCCAACACTGCTGGAACTGCAGCTAATAGAACGCAGATTAGAAAACTGATTGGTCGATTGGTATTTATCACAGAGAATATTGAAGTTTGTGAGCTCTACTGTGCAGCTGTCGTGTTAGAAATAAGCAGCTAGTGGTTAAAAAAATACATTAACTTACACAATGAACAATTTTGCATCATTTGTAGCAACAGTTCTTTTTTACCCTAATATCTTTTATGCTTTATGTATACAGCTGGCGTGCAATTTGTGCAGAAGAAGAGTCAAATGATGCGTCAAAAGCCTCCTTTTAAGGGAGCGCACACAGAGCCTGCTGCAAAAACACCTGAGTTAACAAAGAAAGTTGATAACCACCTGTTGTCATACCCATTATCTCTGCTTGGGATTTTAAGTTTTGTCAAGACAGTTTACACAAAGAAAGCCTGTCTGTGTTCAACTTGCTTTATAGTACAGCCCTCAGATGCACTTACAATACCGACAGCTGCAGAACGCAACACAATCAGCACTCAAACGCTACTTAAGTTTCATACAAAGGCCTTTTGTGGCACATGATGAGCAAAAGCTACTTCATCTATTATACGGTTTGTGTGTTTGGTGTGAGGTGAGAAACTTGTTGACAGTTTTTGAAGTTGTCTGCTTTAAATTCATTAAGTTAGAGTTCCAAAAAAAGCACTTAACAACAAGATCAGCTGCATCACAGGATGGTTCAACTGGCAGGTACCTACCGTAGTTCTTCGAAGGGATGGACTTGAAAACAGCAATAAGCTCTGCATGGTAGCTCACTTCCACTCTGAAGCGGTCTTCTGTGTGAGGTACACATTTTCCTCTGACAGAGATGGCAGGTTTTTTTGCAGGTACAGGATTTGAAGGTGCAGAGTTGGAGGGAAGCTGTGCTGCAGGACTTTGGCCAGGTTTACTGTTTTGGTTGTAGAATGAGCTCAGTGAACCTCCGGAGCTGCTGGAGGTGAGGTTAGGTTTGGCCTGAGCTGACTTGACACCAACACTTCCTCCACCAGACAAGACAGGGCTGTTGATATGTGGACTTGTCCGTGGAAGTGGGTCAATGACTTGTATCTACAAAGGAAAATGACACAAAGAATGAAATCACTGCAAGTCACCTCCACAACAGAACATGAATACACATTTAGGCACAAAGCTCACCGGTCTTGAAGAAGTAGAATTAAACCATGAACTATGGCTGGTTTTATTGCCACTGGTGGACAAGTGCTGCTGATGATTTGGGTGTTGATTTTGATCACTGAAGCTCTGCGAGTCTTTTTTGAAGGGTGGAACAAACCGTTGGGGTGCAGGAGCTGAGACTTGTCTCTGATGAGCAGGATCCGTAGAAAAGCTCTGTTTGGGGGGCTGTGCTTGCACCGAAGTGCTGCTGGAGCCTGCTGAGCTCTGCTTATCGGTGCCGATAGTCTGTCCAAGTCTTTGGGCTCTTCTCTCTAAAGCCTTCCGTCTGTTCTCCTCAATCTTTCGCTGCTGCTCTGCAGTCAGCTGATTGGACATGTTGAGGGACTTTGTTGATGTTAAACAACTAAAGCTAATTAGCACAAACTCAGATGACTGCTAATCACAATCTGAGCTAGCCTGTGCATATAGTTACCTGCAGATGAGTGATCCATGTAGACGCATCTGGTGTTTACGAGCGTTTAGTTAAAACTTTGAAAAGGCGCTAAGTTGCTTGCACTGCTGCTCCCATGGCTAGTGATACCAGCTAACGAGGCTAGTCCTGTCGTCAACAGCTAAACGTAGCAACAAAACACGTCAACAAAGTCACAGTGGCGCTAAATGCAAGTGAGCAATCTTCCGTGGAACTGCAGACGACCAACAGCGCGATCTAAACTAAGTACAAACCGTAAAGTTTGTATGAAGGCAGCGGGCGCTCGTTAGCAACGTGCTACTTCTGTATCTACCGCGCAGGAGGTGACGTAGGAAAACACGCCTGCACGTGAAGGTGGTGGTTGCTAAGTGACGGAGGGAGACGGTGAAATATACCCGTTAATATTCACCGTCATAATATCAGTGAAATTGTTCCTCAGTTCGCATTTGTTTAAAAAAAAATAGCCCATATGGACACATTTTACAAGTTAGCTCAAAAAATAAGGCAACAATTCAAAGAAAATGACGACACGTTAGTCGCTACACCGTCCACAGTCCAGTCAGGTAAACGTTAAGCATGAAGATTAAACTAGCTGCTGTCTGAACAGTAAATAGATCAAGTCGGTTCTGTATCTACGTTAAGTACATTAACGTTTGACGTGACATTTTTCCCCCAGCAGATCCATAGTAAGCACATATAGCTGATAATACTTTAGTAAGATTTTGAATTAAGAACATTTAATTGTCATATTTTTTTTCCTGAGGTGTTACTACCTTTAACCCTGCAGACATGTTTTACAATAGTTAAAAAAAACACTGTGCTTTGAATCATAATTTGTGTCTACAATGGTTTGTACATTTAAAAAAAATACCTGTTTAAAATTCATAAAATGACATCTAGTTGTTCCTCATCCTTTACAGAACAAATACAATATATAAAAATATTTTGTTTATCGTTTTTCATTTCCATCCATCCATCCATGTAAAGGAGAGACCGTGTGAGGAGATTCTCTGTCATCTACACCTTTCTTATTAATCATTAAAGGGTTGAAATTGAAGTAATCGCTGTCAGACTATGAAGTTGCTTTGATTTCAACATGCTTTCCGTTGAAGGTGTCCAAACACACTGGCGAGTTCGAAATTCTCCAGAAATCCTGTACTACGTCCGCTCACTGTGTTCAACACACCTCAGGCATAATCAGGTTGGCGTGGTGCTACAACCCAGTCTGTAAGCAGCTGCTGTACCCTGTCCAAAGGGCGAAGTCATAGCCTGTCTTTTAGAAACATCCCCGGGAGTCCCGTTTGTTTTTCTGTGTTTGACATGTGGGGCAATGCAGCTAATGTGGATCTACTGTAGAACTGACTATGTCTAGGGGAAGGACCAGACTCGGTGCCATTCAAATACCTCAATGAATCAACAACCTCACTGGAAATAGGGAAACCGCAGTCCCCTTCTGGAGCCATTGCAGGGCAGGGAGCTTGCTGGCTTGCATCTGGTAGCTAAGCCCCCACCCTATAGCCACCACCCAGCAGGCCCACCACCTGCAGGCATAAGCACTGAGGTTGGGTGTACTGCAGGTCAGGCGGCAGGCAAGGGCACTACATGTGCTGACTCCTGACTAATGTCAGCAGCGGCAGCATCTACTGAGGAAGCTCAACACCTTTGGTGTCAGCAGCAACATCCTAAGGTCATTTTCCTTCATTGAGAATATCATTATATTCTTTATAACCTGCTGGTTTCACTCCATCGGGCTGCAAAACAGGACCATCAAGGTCTGCTCTAAGATCATTGGATTCACACTTAGACTACTTTGTACCCCATGTGAGCAGCAGGACAGCTAGCAGGTTCCTCCAGGACCCCTGACACGCTCTGTTCCCAGCATTTGAATAGCTGCCTTCAGGACGTCGGCTCTGCTGTCCTGGATGCAGGACTAGGAGGAAGAGAGCAACCTTTTTTTCCCAGGGGCTGTTCAGCTCCTCAACTCCCAGTCAGCACTGCCTCCCTGCGCTGGACCCCTCTTACTCACCCTGCTTTTGATCCCCCCTCCTTGCATGTAGGCATTGCATAATCCATACATCATGGACATGCACCTGCACCTTAAATTATTTATTTGTTGATCCAACTGCTCTGCGTTTCTTAGATTGCCCCCAGGGGACGAATAAAGTTTTTTCTATTGAATTGAATTGACTCCTGGTGATGCAGACAGGTTCTGGGGATTTGGAAAATGCTGGCCAGAGGAGCCAGCTGAGGTGGTTCAGGCCTCTGATTGGAGTTGCCTTCTTGGTGCCCACCTATGGAGGTTTTTGGGTGTGTCCAACTGGGAGGAGACCCCAGCTTAGATCCCAAATCCACTGGAGGGACGATTTATTTAATCTGGCCTAGGAATGCCTTGGAATTCCCTAACAAAAGAGTGTTTCTAGGGAGAGAGATGTCTGAAACGTCCTGCTCAGGCTTGCTGCCACTACAAACGAATGGATGGATGCCTGCATGGATGTCTCTCACATCACTGGAAGTCAGTTGTCAGTCCAGTATGTGTGAAGACAGTTAGGTTTTCAAACCACACTTGTGTAAGGTTCCTTTTGAATCAGGATTGGCTCCCAAAAAAGTTGCGATACCACAAATCATGTGCACACCTTCAACTCAGTTTTAAAGTAAACACAGAGAAACTTTTCACGTTTAATGGAAAGCATTGTCAAAAACCTCTATTGTAAAAATTGTGCTTCATTGTGCACAGTGAAGGCCAAACACAACCAAGCATTGGCCCAACACAATGCAGAGTGGAGGTGGACTTAAGTAACAGACCTGAATACTTCTTCCACCATTGTGGAAGATCCTAGTTTGTGTCAGATGTTTTTTCCACAAGTCTAAAATGATCAGCTGTCTTGGTTGGCTTATTTTCAATAGCTATTTAATCAAACACTACTTTGCACCTGAGATGCGATGTAAGAGCAATCACTGGCAATTACCTGCCAGAAAAGAAAGCCAGCAGGAGTGAGAGCTACAAGTTTAATGTGTCAGTTTACTGTTGGCAATCCATTAAACGCTCACCCCGTGACCACTTGTCTGACAACAGTCTTATATAAATTCTGGCAAAAAAAAAAAAAAAAGAGAAAGGAATACATTTCTGCTGGCTGGCAGAGTCCAGCCACAGGTGTGTTCTTTTGAATTATTCAATCAGGCAACACAGCTGCCCCGGCTGTCCAGCTAATTGTTCTCTCCTGTGTCTGTGTTTTTTGTTAATTTTTTTGTCTTTTAAATTTACCAAGTGCACTAACTAAATATTGGATTTTAATTTTGAAATACTTTTTGTACGTCATGTGCTAATTTATATTTCTGCTGGGCTAATTGTCAGAGGAAAATGTTGTCATTTGTTGTACTCTGCTGCATTTGTCCAACGTCTACATTCTAATTTTAACCATATGATCAGCTTATTCTGATACAATAAATGACCAATTAGTGTTTAAAATAGTAAAAATAGTTCTAACTCAACCAGCTACCAAACAGCTGCTCATGTGCCAAAGTATGAGTAATACAATAAATATTACAAAGATACTCTTTAAAGGGTCATATTGCATCTTGGGTATGCTTTAGATACTTTAGGTACATTTACAGGAAAATTCTAGATAATACTTTAAAGTACTTTTAGATGGCTCTTAGCTAGTGTGAGTGTTTTCGCAGTGTGTCATTATTACTGATGAAATAATTAAAAGTGGGGGAAAATAGGCAAAAAAATTTAAATTAAAAAAAATAGCCTATTATTTCTATGCATAATTTCTAAAAGTAATTTCCGGTTCCAGCTGAATATTATCTGTTTTATTAATGATGACAATATGGCTGGATGACTGTTTAGAGACCAAATGATGACTCAGTGGATTAATCAAGAAAAACAGCAAATTAACTATTAACTTATTTTAATGTTACTTATATAAAAATAAGAAAGAGAGAGAGTGTGTGTGTGTGTGTGTGTGTGTGTAAATATATATATATATGCATGAATCATGTGGTGAATTGAGGGTTTTTGTTGGCTGCCTTAGGGATGCAATTTCTCCCTTAACTCCTTTAGACCTAATCATTTTTGCAAATATTTTAGCCACTTTCAGCCTAATTAAAAATTAATATGTATGCTGAGCTAAATGAGTCAGTCGAGCTGAGATATTAGGAACATTTTGTGTTTCCCTTGTGTTGTCTGATGTTTGAATTGTTTAATTACAGTACAACTTCATTTTCTGCTCCCCTCCCACCTTTTTTTTTTTTTTTTTTTTTTTGCCTGATGTGAAAGTACAAGCCATTCTTGAAATCACATCAATGTCACCTTTGACTTAATCCCTCCTCGAATTCCCAACGCTGAGTAATTAACCGTTTTCCATGTATTTGTCTCAGTCCACAGTTGTAATGAGTTGGCTGCTTGCATCACTGTGCGGTGGTGACGTGCAGCGTCTGGGAGCTGTCCCAGGAATCATGGTGCTGAAGCTGCAGCACCGATTCAGCAGCCAATGATCACAGGAGAATCCGGGGCTACGGATGCTTTCACCCGGAGCAGGACAGTCCGACAATCGTGTTGGATTTATACGGACGGATTTCTGGATCCTGCTTGTTCCTCGGACATGGAAATGCGATAATTGGGGGATGTAAGCTTCACAGAGACTTGCCAGCGACCTGCAGTCTGGCTGAAAATCTATGAAAAAAAAAAAAAAAAATCCTGAAACTGTGAATCGTATGGAAATCGGTCTCCAGGTAAGACGGATTTTGCTTCCTAACATGGCACGCCGTCGATTGACTTAATTTGGTTTGAAAGCCTCACAAGACGTCGACAGCCATCTGAGCTGTGCTGATTTATATACACATTTAGGAAGAAAAAACAAAAAAAAACAAAAACGTGGCTTTCATTGTTGTTGGAATATTTGAATTTTAAGACTGAGCGCTGACATTTTGTTTCTAGTTCAGTTCGTTGTACCAAAGGCAGATTTGATTCTTGGTTCCTGCACTCACCGTGAATCTGGAGGGAGAAGCCTGTCTAGATAGTTTCTGTTGTAGGGAGCAGGCAGACTATTAAGGCCATGAAATGACAGTGGACACTGAGTGAACGGGCCATAGCCTTATTACTTGAATGCATATTCCTATCAGTCTTAGCCTTTGACTTTCCTCGTTTGGCTGTTTTAATTCATTCAACTTAATGGCTTCAGACACTTGTTTGCATCAATGGGATTTATTTACCTTTTGCATCCTCGTGGGAAGACAATAAAAGGCACACCATTAGAATACATGAACATCAGCATCAGAAACTAAACAACGCTGCTGTAAACCCCGACTGGAAAACGCACCCCACTCCTCCTCCTGCCCCCCACTATCCCATCCCACGACATATGAAGAGGTGCTTGCTTATGACGGGGACACACACGGCACACACTGTTGTTTCCCAGCACCTTTGCACGGTGCTGTGAGTTTTTTTTTCTGGCCGGAGACAGCCCGATGCTGCGCAGCCAGGGCATGCTGAAGAGCCGCTGTTGCGTCCTGCTTGGTGACCTGAGGGTGCTCCTGCTCGGGCCACCGGCACCGCCGACACCGCTGCCTCCGCTGACCCCCATGAGCGGCCAAGCTTCTGAAAGCCATGAGACAGGCGTCACCGTCCCCGACAACAACAACACGTTAACGCGGGGCCACCAGCACGCCGGGGACCGAGCGGCCGCACCTGCCACGGGAGCCGCCGGGCCACCGGGCGGAGAGCGACCGGTGTCTGGCTGGGTGGATTCTGCAGAGCTGTCGGCGGCCCTGCGCGGCTGCAGCAGCTCCTCCGATGACTGCTCAAAGGGCAAACTGGAGGAGAGGTTCTCCCTCACCAGCTACACGGAAAGTGGCTTCAGGACGCCTGTGTGCAGGATCTGCTTCCAGGGACCAGAACATGTAAGTCATCAAACGTTCATCAAATGTTAAAATGGGATATTTATACCATGCACTGTCCATCTAATCCATTCATTAGTAATCACCTTCCTGCTGGGGCTTCATAAAATAGTAAAATGTGATGGTGTTACATTTAGCTGGAGTGGAATCTTCTAACTACTTGCTCTCCAAGGAGCATAGGTTAACTGCAGCAACAAGTCCTCCAACCCACACACCAGAGCAGGTGATGCAAAAGTTGCATCTCTACATCCAGGAATCTAACATGCAGGCTTTCTGTTACATGCTGTGGTCAAGCTTGTTTTCCAGTGCATAAGAAAAACACTGGCAGTGTGTTGTTAGGGCAGCAGGAAAGCCCTCTGAGCAGGAATCCCTCTGCATCCTGCACTCATCCCATTGCGTGGCTTGAAAAGACAGCTATAGCTAGCAGTGGGAGGATAATGAAAGACCTTGTCCCCGTGGCTGACAAGTGTGGAGGATACACAGGGATGCAGTAACAACTCATTACAGCCAAACAGTGCGAATTCACGTCGAGGCATTATATGCATGAAAAAATCAAATAATACCTCTCACTCGGCTGCTCACGCTTTCCGCTTGGAAACAGCAACAAAAAATAAATAAATATATAATAATAATGTGCACAGAACAGAAGGGAAGAGCCTGCAGGTTAATCACACTGCGTGCCTCCGCCTTTGGGGCCATATTGATGATAATGTCACACCACATCAATCAGGAGAGGAAAATGTGAAAGGAGATGGCTACAATAAATAATATTAAATTATAACAGAAAAGCAGACACTTAGCAATTTGCAGACGCATTAGTTACACTGTTTGACAGAGCTTTTGAGAACACATTGACGAATATGTCACACTTCACCAATTGGTAATGGAGGCAGGGAGGTTATAAAAAAAAAATATCAGGAAGCAAGGTAGCTGAGGTGTAGAACATAACTTTTTTTATCCGGCAGCCTGTACTCACGGTTGCTTTTCCTTTACCCCAGCAGCAGATTTACTGTATCATTTCATGGTCATTGCACTGTGTATAGCCTATAATCTTTCTATGTTTCATCAACTAATTACTCCAACAGCAATTTTGTGCATCATTCCACCTCTGAGCTCAGACTTTGTAATTATTACTGACATGGGGTCTAGTTATGGGATTGGAAGACAAGGCATCATCCTTGCTTTGTTTTGTTTTGTTTTTTTCCCCAAAAAAACTCCACAGATAGTCAGCACACTCATAGTCAGCAGTGCATACAAAGTACCGGCTTCGAAATTTCCACTATTTCCCATGGCTTCCTCCAATACATCTCATTATGCTTCCTTGAGACATTGCAGCAGGTCAATAGTACTCGATTTCATGCTTATCATTATGCAAGTTTTTATCTTTCACCCTCCTTCCTTTTCCTGTCGTCTCTGAGTTGTTGGTTTGGGTGAAGTCCAGATATGGATCTGCTGAGGTGTAAATGGGTACAAGGAGAATGAGGCTCCATTTGAAAAGAGAGATGAGTGGACTGTCTGTGTGTCACTGTGTGATACAGGCAGAGGGGACATTAGTTATCCTCTATTCTCCCTTAGCCTCCAGGATGTCACATAGACCAAGGCAGCCAGTATCTGATCTGACAATCCACCTCCAAAACACTTCCATCCCCAAGGCTGAGATAGTCAAGACAGAGTAAAGAAGGGAGGGAAAGACATAGCTTTCCCCTAGCATCCCACTAGGAAAGGGCCTTGAGTGTCTGAGAGAGGCAACCATTGAAAAATGATTGTTTCCTGATTTAATGTGACACCAAACAATGTAATAAGTCTGTGTAATCGAATCCCTGTCAGTGTTTTTGGTGCTGTTTTCTTTGAGGTGAGATTCATAACCGAAGTTCTTGCTGTTTTTAAGGATCAGTTCTTTTTTAAAATTTGTCTCATATGTAAATGTAAAGACTTATTGGTGTCTGCAAGCATTCGTCTTTGCCATGAATTGATCCGTGTAAAGGCCTGTAAGCTGAATCGAGATGAATCACGACAAATTCCTTCTCTGTGACACTATCTCTTCTTTACAGCTCAACAAAAAAGCGCTGTACACAGAAACAAAAATAAGGAATTCTGTATTACATTGACGGTAACTGTGGAGGATGCTTTCAGTTGCACAAATCAAGAGCTGTGGATTTTCTACCTGTTACACTGAAATCATACTATCATACATCATGTCACGACCAGTATGGACAGGATGAATGATTCATCCACCAATAACTTTTTTACTGCATCTGTGGGCCTGTGACTTACGCACTAAGATAGACTTGAAAAATAATCCGAACCAGACTGTAGGTGAGCACTACCAAAAACACATAACGTCCAATACAATGAACAGCTGAGCCAGTATCAGAAATGGGATAAATTCTTTTATGTCCCGACCTCAGGTTATTCATCTACTGTTTCACAAACAGCTAACTCGAGACATATTTCAACCCATTATTTGTTCTATTTAGCTAAAGGTCAGCGACAACCTTTACAGAGGGCTCATGGAGCTTTTGCTTTATTCAGGCTCGTGCTTTCGGACTTAATCTCAACCTTGTCGCTCAAAGAATAAGCAGTTTCTCTGCAACGTCTTCAGATTATTAGCGATTGCCAGGAAAATGTTCATGTCATACACAAACTCATGAAAGGCACTGTAAAAGTAATATACCAAAAAAGAAGAAAAAGTCGTGGATTGTCTCCCTGTGTGAGGGATCCTGAGGTGTCACGAACATTTACACTGAAAAGCCCTTTGGGGATGATTCTCCTACTGTCTTCACTTAAGCTTTATGCTGAAACCATGCGAGCTGCTGCTGCTGCTGCTGCTGCTTAGAAAAAGATGTGTGCTGTCCCTTCAAACGCGGATGATGCACTTGCACGGTGTGTTTGTCTGAGACACAATGAGAAGCCTTGAGGGGTCAAGTTAGCATCATTCTTTCTATATGGCCCCACGGTTGCGAGGCAATCTGTATTCCATCATATGCAGTATGGCTGCTCTGCCATTTGTTGGGAATGGGATATAAACAAGTTACATAAGCACATGAAATGTTTTTGGCTGCTTTGCTGAAATCTATAGACGGGAGCTATGAAATCATAGGCTTAAATTAGAAACCCTGGTTTCTCTTTTATTCAATTATCATTAAAGAGTCATTAGCTGTCACTGTAGGCCCAGTGGTTCCCGTAAAATCTGCCGTGAGTGGAGCGTCCTCTTGCATGTATTTTATGACTAGTCATTATTGGTAAATACATTTGAAATGATATCCTTATTGGACTTCTTTTCCCTGAAACTTGTTGCATATGGTTAAAGCGTATATATGAAGCTGTTTTTTAGTGCAGTATTGCAGGCTTTTATAGAAGAAATGCTTATGAACTGAATATTATTGGCCATTGTAAAAATCACTTTCATTCAGTTTCTGTGCGAGCTAGTTTATTATAGCGCAATTTTCCCTCGCTTAGAGTTAATGGAGTTCACTTGCATTGATTCCAGACCCTTAAGAAATGTGAATAGCCATCTCTAATTTATTTTCATGTCGTTATATACATTGGGAGTGGATCTAATTTTATAAGGAGAAAATTAGGTGCAATGAAGTGTTTTGGGATACTGCAGATCAGAGAAATGGAACAATACTGCCTAAACTATCAGACATATCTTTATATATATTATTCTATTGTGGGGGGTTTTTTTTCAATGATTATTGCTGTTTGATCAACAAAAGGACATTTAGTTATCACTTTTCATATGCGTGGGCTGTAGTGCCACGTTTGTTATCAGTCTCTCTTGCTCTCTCTCCAGCCTCAGTTGTATTGGAGTGATCTAGGTTTCAGCTCTTGGCTGCGATCAGGCCAGTCACAGTGAGCGGCCTGAGTCCCACTGGACACGACAGAAGTGTTCTGGTGCTCCTGCCAATACACTCCCACCCTGGCCATCTGTAGATGGGCCTTTTCTCCTCTAACTCCCTGCTTTTTCCTCTCTTTTCTTCAACCAGGGCGCTGCTCCGTCTGTCAGAAATGTCAGCATAATAATGACACGGAGAAATAATTTGGAAACTTACTCCATTTTGCGCTTTTAAAACAAAAAAAAACAGTTTTGTGTTTCTTCCTACAGTCTCTTCTCTCGTGGTAGACTGGGAGAGGGAATACTGAATCAACAATACCTTAGTAATGTAATGCCTCCGCTTAGAGAGGAGAGAGAGGAGGAGATTTCTTGCAGCAGACGGGGGTTGGCTAATTTATTTTTTCATTCACTACAGGCTTTTTATTCAGCCCTATTAAGATTAAAACATCATATACAAGAAGGTCCTGCTATGAATCTCATAGATCTGAGTTCCTTAAGTGCAGGTCAGGACCTAAAAATGGTGGCGGGCCTTCATCTTTTAGGTCATCATCAATATCCAATATGACAAGATTAGTAATATATTTTAATGAGCTTGGGGCCCAGGGTGAGAGATTATAAAACTCTCATCTGTTCCTCAGGCTGAATACGGCTTAAGAAGAATGGCTGGTTAAGAATATGGCAGAGCGCATATTGCTGTTAAGTGAAAACCTTGTGATCCCAAATTTAGTGAACTTCATGGTTTCACTCCATTTGAAGAATTTAACAGTGTTATGTACTGCAAATATAAAGAAAAGTCCCCTAATGCTTTGGTTTGCTGAAATCTTGTCATCCCCAACTGGATAGGCTGAAAACAGGATGGAAAGACCGAGCATACGGCTGCCAGGTCTCATCTCCTGCACCTGACAGCAGTGATATTTTCAGCAATGCTTTTCACGTGGTTCAAGAGTTCACAAGTCTACCTCTGTTGACCACTGAGCAGCTCTTCAGGAGCAAAAACCGACCTTTACTTCAACTGCTTTGAGGTGCTGAAGGAAGGGTCATGTTTTATTTCAGCTGCTTCGACCTCTGTACCTCTTCAAGATATAGTCTAGTGCCACCTAGAGGTTAAACACACAATGCAAGCGTTGTTATTCTGATGTTCACTGACATCAATCACACAGTATGTGGCTGTCACCGTGCTGACATCGAGGATTTGAAATGCCCTCAGTTACACTAACATCCTGACTGACTGACAGTGAGTTCAAAAGTGTCACTCCAAGATGACCAGCGTGTCAGGAAACCACGCTTTCTGCAATCACTCTACCAAATGTTGGACCTTGTTTAAAATTGTAAGATAAATGTTGGCCAGCCAGATTTCAAGGATAACATCGTGTCCTTAAGATAGACAGAGAAGGGAGTCAAGGAAGACATTTTACATCTCTATTTGGTCTCAAATCGCCAACTGTAACTATAAAAGAACATTTTCATGCCACCTGTGAGAGCTGCATTAATTTTATGACCTGCAGTATCAGTGTAACTTTAACGCGGCATTCTGCTGCTTTGTTGCGGTTTGCTCTTTCACAGGAGCTTCAGTGACTAATCCTCCACTTTCAGAGGTACTAGTAATCAAGCATTTTGCCTGTCAACTAGGTGTAAGGCAAAGCTTTCATTTCACACCTGAACTGGCGTTCTGCTGTAATAGGTCTGCGCAGTGCTGTGTGCTCTGCGTGACTGTGTGTGTGTGTGCGTGCATGCATGCTTGCCTAAACCGTGCACAAAAAGCCCTTGGAAAATCAATAAGCCAGCACAACGAACCGCGAGGAAATATAAATATATGTATAGTGTAACCACTGCTATATTGCATGTAAAAGAGTTACTGCAGGGGGTAAATAAGATAAGAAGGACTGTCAGCGGTCAATGATTGCTGTAGGCAGATATTTCTTCTGAATCACAAGTCACTACTTAACCGTATCCTGCTCACAGGCGCCAGTCAAGCAAGAGACTGTAGCAGCTTTTTATTCTTGTATCACAGCACATATATATCCACTCACAGCGAAAACATTTTTTCATGTAATTTGACTGAATGATACAAACATGTGGCAGGTACTGATTGGCTCTGTGTCTTTTCCTGCAGGGGGAGCTCCTGAGCCCGTGCCGGTGCAGCGGGTCGGTACGCTGCACCCACCAGCCCTGCCTCATCAAATGGATCAGCGAGAGAGGCTCCTGGGCCTGTGAGCTCTGCTACTACAAATATCAGGTCATTGCCATCAGCACCAAGAACCCACTACAGGTGAGCTGTAGGTGTGAAGAGCACCAGTGGTTAGAAGGAAAAAGAGCTGGGAAAAAACTGAAGTGTTAAAGTGTAAGTCTTGGTATGTCTTTGGGAGAACCTTCTCCTCCAGGAATCATGTTGGAGGCATTTCTGGGTTTTATGTCAGAATTGATTTGGGAGGTAACACCCAAAACACTTTTTTTTTTTTTCCAAATCACAGAGTTTTAACTGCAGCTCCAGCTTTACTCTGATCATGAGCTGAGGAATTCAGGGGGAAAATGAGGCGTTTTGAATTAAACAAGGCGCATTTGCTCTGATCTTCAGAATTGGAAGATTGCAGAAGGAACTTTTTATCAGTTTTCAGGTTTAATGGCATCAATGGGTTGTTTGTGAGTGAACACAAATTTTCTTTTTAGGTTTTTCTGCATGAGACTGGTGTGTGAAAGACTGCTTTTCGGAGTGGATGCTGAAGTATAATGCTTTTATTATAGTGCAATAGATGATTATGATCCAGATTAACCATTTATAATGTAAATGTTTCTGTTCCTTTTACCTAATGATGGTGTCCAGTGACAGTGTCTTTATCTTCTCCTTGCATTTGTATCTATCTGGCCTCTGTAAGACTTCAGTACAAGACAGAAGAAAGAAAAGCAATGAACTGAGCTGTGCTGTGTCTTCTTGCAGTGGCAGGCCATCTCCCTGACAGTGATAGAGAAGGTGCAGATAGCAGCAGCCATCTTGGGCTCCCTGTTCCTGATGGCTAGTATCTCCTGGCTGGTGTGGTCGTCTTTTAGCCCGTCTGCCCGCTGGCAACGTCAAGATCTGCTTTTCCAGATCTGCTACGGCATGTACGGCTTCATGGACGTCGTCTGCATCGGTGAGGTTTTAACCAGTTAGCAGTGATTTAATATTTTTTAAAATTTCATGCAACGTTTCTACTTCTGCTCGGAACGATTTTGTGCCTTTTTACGACTGAGAATAATATTGAGTCTTTCCACTCCGGTCACATTAATGCAGGTGCATTCAACAGGCAAAAGTAAATGTCAAAAGTGTTCAGCAGAGTCAGTAATTATACCTGACGGCTGTTCACAAAAAACTGTGAATGCCATGAACAATTTACATTATTGACAATCAATGCAATTAATCTACACCACGTATTCAGCTGCTTCGAATCAATATTGTGTGCAGTCGGTTCATAATTGATTGCATACGTGATTGTTTGGCCAATCTTGGTGAGCATTCCTGCAATATTGTCTTTATCACAGTTACTATATGAAAAATGATGAAATGCCTCATCAGGCCTACTTTATAAATTAAACATGAACTCCAAATGTTCAAATCTCAGTGTTTGCACCAACTAAATTGGTTTTCATTGCATACATTAAAATGCATTTCAAACTATAAAAATAATAAAAAAGCTACAGTGCTAAATGCAGGCAAACCATTGTGTGCTGTCATAACACAAGAGAGAGAGAGAGAAAGAAAAAAAAAAAGGTGCACTGGAGCATTTTTTCAGAATTTGCGTGGGTGTCCAAATTGAAACTTATAGCATCTGTTTTAAGCCTGCTGTCCTCCTCTGGCGCTTCAGGGCCCACATGTTTTGGATGAATGTGTGATGGCATCTCACATTAAGAAAACTCTTAACTGCCACTGCAGCAGACAGCGGGGGGAGAGGAAAAGGAGATTGATTGTCTCCGGTTTGGTGGCGAGGATTGACTGTGGAGTCATTAACTCTGCACTTTACAGAGATTAACTTGTCACCTGGTAGACGTTAAAGAGCAAAGACCTGACTTTCACTTATCCGCAAAGTTAGAGGGGGGGGGGAAGGAGCAGAGTTGAGGAAATGCGACAGGATTTTATCAATAAACGCCGACTGCTGTCACTGTGGCTGCCGCCTTATGTAACGGCTCATAACAGAGGGCGTTCTCATACTATAACTGTAATAAAATACTGCATCGGTTACAATCGGTTAGCTGTGTGATGATTCATGTGCGGCGGTAACGCTTTAACACTCCCGGTTTGCATTTATAAGCAGCGTATAAAGATATAATTCATTTAAAGCACATTAAAGTGCAGTTATAAGAGGAATTAAAGACATTTTGTTGCACAGTATTTTCAACAATTACATCTCCTATGAAGATTTATGTATCTGTTTATATAGAAGCATCTAGTGTTGGATGGAGGAAGGGTTAAAGTTAAGACAAATACTTTAACAAACACGTAAAAAGACCTTATTACCATATTGCATTTTTATATGTCATTATATGTCAAATGCTTAATAAGGGTTTAAAATAAAAACCGTACATACTGTATTTCCCTATACATGACTTTAATATGGAAAAACACACACACAGTAAAATCTCCGAGTCTGAGCATCTGCTGTTACACATTGATTTCAATTTTCCAGATACTGAGCTCGATGAACATGAGTCAATAAGCAATTCTGAACTGAGATAAGATGTTATCGAACAACCCCAGAGAACAGATGCAGCATTTTTTTGCTAACCTAAATCTAAAAAACGGTGGAGTATCGCTGTGTCATGAGTTGCACCATGTTTCCACTTTTTCTTAGAAATAAAGATCTTCTCTGTGGGTTATGGTGCAGCGCTTTAAAGATAAAGAGTTGTTTTGTTCTGCCACTGCCTCGGCTAATACTTTCTGCAGGCTTTAACACAGAGAATCCACCACTGCAGCGGTGTACAGTACATCACTTTGTGGCGTCATTAAGACTGCTGCCACACAGTGACATCGTCTAACTGATGCTTTGATCCCCACAGCTTTAATTGTCCACGAGGGACCTTCTGTGTTTCGCATCTTCCACCGCTGGCAGGCCGTTAACCAGCAGTGGAAGGTCCTGAACTATGATAAGTCTATGGACAGCGATGACCTGAAGGACTCCACTGTAGACAGGACTCTGTCTCAGCCCAGCCCGGGCTACCAGACTGGGATAGGAGTGTCCACCTCCACCTCCTCGCTGATGGTGGTGGCCTCTACAGCCGCCGGCTCCACTTCTACAACCGTGGTGACGGCCGCGGGAGGACTGGGAACACACGTGGACCCCAACAGCGGCAGCGCAGTGCCAGACCAACACTGTCCCTACAACATCCTCCACCTGCTCAGCCACCTGAGGCAGCCGGAGGCCCGCAGCCAACCCAGCAATAGCACAAGAGAGCTGGTCATGAGAGTTACAACAGTCTGAGGAGTCAGTTGAGGCCTTATCTCACACGGAGGTGAAAGATTTATGAACCAGCTGACAGTTGAAAAAAAACAAAAAACAAAAGTCCTATCTTAACTGCACTGGATTAATACCATGTTCTTGTTTGTTTCAAAATGCATCTCTGATGTCCTTACATTGATTGAATAAAAGTCAAAGTTGTTTGATTTGCAGAATCTGGTGGAAAATTTTTGAGTATTTGTAGGAAAGGAGCAGCGAGTGAATGTGTGCATCGGTGCTCAGTTGTGATCTTTAGAAGAGTTCATTTGCAAAAACAGATTTTCAGAAAACTAATATCAAACTGAAGCTGAGTGGATTTGACTCAGTAGAAATGACACCACAAAAATAGAGATAACTGAAGTTTGATTAATTTTGTCTCAGGTAGACGATGGAAAAGTTGGTTTTCTGAAGGTTTGTGAAGATGGAGTTATCTGTTTTTGCAAATGGACTCTTCATATATAACTTACTATTGTTACTAATAAGAACATCGCTAATTTAGATCTTACAGCCAGTCAGGCAAAAAGCCAGAAAACTAGCAACCACATGGAAGAAAAAACATTTAAAATCTTCTGAAGATTTGAAGGTTTTACTGGTATAGTTGGTGTCAGTGTATTCATAAGAGGAATTTCTGAGATTGTTGTCGATTTTTCATAAATTGCTAATATTTTTACCTGCCTGTGAGGGAGAAGAACTAAAACCAAAGCACCACAGTCCTCTGAATTTCATTTTACAATAGAAAATGTCTGACATTTTTGCATATGTATCCAGATCAACACCGCAGCTAGTTGTGATAGACACACATGGAATTCATTTAGATTTCTTTAAGTACAGTCGCTCTAATCAAAACTGTAATGAGGTACTCAGGGTTTTTCCTGCTTAGAGGGATTTTTTTGGATCTTATCATGTGTAGGCAACCCCAAAAACCTATTCTGAGCCAGGATAACCCCTGATGCTGCATGTTTTTGTCATTTGTTCACATGCTGTACTGTGTTACCATTTATTGGTTTTCTGGTATTTTTCACCCAAATATTAGTACTAGAACCACAGGTTGCTATTTAAATCTGTTTCTATGTGAAAGTGTGCAGAAGTAACAGTCTGGACACCTGCTGTATGTCAGAGTAGAATTCAAAATAGTAGAAAATGCAGCTGATGAATATGAGGTGGGAGCATTTATCGAGGCGCGACAGTTATTCACCTTTTTCACATGTGGTGTTGCAGTTCAGCCGATTCTTTAATCCAGTGCAAGAATAGCTTTTGTTATAACGATAACACTGCAGAGGGATGCCGTGTTAAATGTGTTACAGAAATATTTTTCATCCCAGGTGTGGATTGAACCGTACAGTCTGATGGAACTCGCAGGCAGGATATGGAAGAGTTAACAGGCTGCCTAAAATCATTTGTAAACATAATTTTCAGGGCTTTTTTTTTCTCCATCACTGGATCAAAGCAGGTTTGATTCTGATGCACAGTTTAAAAAAAAAAAAAAGAAGATGAAGAAGAAGAAGAAGAAGAAGAAGGGGGGTTTTTCTTTGTACTGTCTTTGATGGACACTTCTTTTTTTTTTGTTACAGCATTTTCTTGTCAGGCATCATTATGTGATTTTGTTGATTGTAGGAGGGTTATTGAGCATGTGTTATTGGAACACCTTTTCCTCAAAATGCACAAAAGAAGATGCTTTACGGTGCTTCTAACAATGAGGAAACGCCGTCGTAAAAGGAAATCATTAGCTAGTTTGTTTAATTGCTCCTGCCAGTAAGCCCGCAAGTGAAATCACGTTCGGGCTTCAAAGCGGTGATGTCACTCGGCTCCGCATTCATGTTCACGTTTGACTCACAAAGCCAGTGATTTCCCCGTCTCTTGGCTCTCAGATTCAGATATGCTGTTTGATATTGCTTCACAGCTCTTGTTTCATGTCCATGAAAGATGAGTTCTATCTCGGGGGGGCTCCACATCTCTAAAGCATGTTGTGGGAGGGAAGCAACACTGTTAAAAACATCCTGGTAGTGGGGCGTGGTGGGGGTGGGGGTATGTTGATGTTACCTGTTTTATCCGACACACTGTACAGTCACCGGGCAGGCTCTTGTTTAAACAGAAAACGGTTTTGATGCTCGCAATAGCCTCTGCAAGAAAAGAAACACCAATCATAAAGTGAAGCATTTTGCAGGCCTCAGATGCCTTTGAGCCTTTTCTCACATTACATTAAAGACACATCATTAGCTTAAAGATTAATCTCATGTGAATGATCCAGATTAATTTAAGTGAAGCTGGAGCTCACAGTGCAGCAATACCACAATATAACACTGTCTTATCAATACACCTGCTTAACAGTTGCATCATTTGCTGTCAAAATGCATCTTGCCGAAGTGCAACATCTGCTTTTCTGTTTATGATTTAGCATTGTTTTAATTAATCTCCACAGCACCGGGCGGATCTGCTCTTTCACAATCCTGCTACATCCGTCATCATAATCAACTACCAGGAGTATAGTATCTGCAGAGAATCAGGTAGCACCGTGATTTTCTGCTGAATTATTTAAGCCATGAAGTGCTGATATCAATGGGTGGGAGCTGCTGTATAGAACGAACTTGCAAGGAGCCGGGAGGTTGCAGAGAGTTCACCATGAATCTGCTTGCCTCAGTTCTCTTCACACCTTGTCTCTTTGAATTCACAGACGCATACACCTAGCTTTGATGAAACACAACTAAAAAAAAAAAAAAAAAAATGCACAGGAATCTTATTCTTCGAGGATTGACGGGGAGCGCCTGCAGTTTATTCATCCATACTAACTGCGCTCACATGTTGCACATGCTTAGATCACGCAATTAAAACACGCTGCGTGTTGAAATTCAGTTCCTGTAGCTGTTGCTGGGGCAAGGAAGTCACACTTGCTTTTGAATGCTGTGAGACAGCTGTGAGGTGGGATTTAGCATTGTTTACACTATTCAGCTTTCATTTAAGCTCCACACAATTCTCCCATCGGAAAAAGAAGTATTTTTAGCAAGTTCAATTTGAAACTAAGGCAGAAGCGCTGAAGCAGTTTTGTCGTGTTTAGCTCAAGAAAATCACGACAAAAACAAAGTCTTTGATGAAACTCATCAGTCGGATGTTTAATCCAGTACAAAAGCTTTTTATCAGTGTTTTATAAGTAAAAGTATCTCTAATAATTCTGCTCTTTGCCTGAATGTGTAACATTCAGATGAACCTTTGATTTCAGAAACGTCGTCTTTCCTCTGGTCCGGGGAACACTGTAGTAAAACTATTGCTTTCATTTGCAGAAAATTGACCCAGAAAGGATTTTTTGCAGACTATATGGAACTCTGAACCTTTGAAACGGAATAAATTGCATACAGCTAATGTGCTATTCATGCAGGTTGTCTGAAGTCTGAATCACGCTGGAAGAAAGCGTCGCATTCACTCCCTGCAACTTCTTCTAACGCTGCAAATGAAAGAGGGCATTTCGAAGAGCCGCTTTTTTGTTGTTGTTGTTGTTGAGGTGAGAGGAATTGACAGGTGTTATAGAGAAGCTGGAAGCGTCGACGGACAGTGACAAATTGCAGGAGAGTGAATGCATAAATATACTTCTGTTCTTCTGTACCCACTTATTCTTGTTCAGGGTCAGAGGCTGCTGAAGGCTGAGGAGACATTCACTGTTTTTCTGAAAGACAGGCTTATGGGTAATTTACAGTTCAACTGTGGGTGAAACCTAGAGGTCCTACACACACACAAATGTAGAGCTGAGATTCACGGCCAGGATAGTCGCTGTAAATTGTCAGAACAAACCACTGAACCACTGCCATGCCTCTGCTTAGAGACCTAAACTGTGCAAAAAGGGGGAAGAAAAAAAAAGATTACTTTATCTGGGATCTTTCATTATGTTTAAATAGACTTTTACAAGAGTGGAACCAATTGAAAAGATGAAAGGCGTTCTTCACTTCACTTGTCAAAAATGATCATCAGTAACAGATATGATTCTCCGTGACTTGTTTTTGCAGCTTGTGTTCCCCCCCTGGTGGATAACTCACATACTGCTCTTGACTTCTTGCAGAACAGGGGCCGCTTGGAGATCTTTGGGCTTGATGTTCACACCAAAGTGACAAAATCTGAGGAGTGGGCAGAGATTTACGTGTCAGTCACAAGGCGACGCTCTGTGTGCACCTTCAGCCTCGACAGAAACGACCCGTCCGTGTGACGATGATGTACAACCTATGAAATCACTAGCGGTGCTGACTCAAGCCCTTTTTTTTTTTTTTTTGCTTGAAGCATCATTTGAACTTGAATCGCTTGAGTATTTCCACAAAACAACAACTTTGTACTTCACTGAAGAGAAAGATAACATACTTCAATACTACATTTCTCTGTCGTTTAGAGCCGCGGCGAGGGTTTTAGAGGTCACAAGTCCTCCCAGCCCGCCCCTTCAACACCACAAACTGAGTAACCAGAAGCTAAAATAAAGAATTTATTGTACTTATTAAGCGTTCCTACCTTTAGACCTTATGCTAATGTATTTTCCCACCATAAGAGCTTCACAGAACTGTGCACACTGTCAGAAATACTATCTGGTAGCTTGTAGATACCAAACAAACACACGGTTTACTGTTCGATGTTGCTAAAAAGCCACAAATGTACACTGAGAATCTTCACAGTCACAAAATGTATACGAGAAAAAATGCATTTTTGCAGCTGCATTCAAGTAAACCTATGTGGAGCCACTATGTAAACTGTTTAGATTTATTTATTCTTTGCTTTGTAGCATCCAGCTGTATCTTCAAGAGTGATTCTGACGCAAATTCCTGCCTCATCGCGACAGATTCATGGGGTAGAGTTCGCTTGATGAAAATCCAAACATAGCATCTTTTATATGGGATACAACTATTAAGTCTTGGTCTTACTTCCATTGTTTTGCATAAACTCCGGTACGCAAGTCAAAAGTACACGTGCACCGCCATTCATCTTGTGTACTTATATGAATATCGGTTAAAAATGTATTTGTTAACACACAGTGTCACAGATGCATGAATGTTTAATGTGCCTGGGTTTGTGGACTGTGGAGGTCACTGCAATCTTTGACGCTTGTTTCTCTTTTCATGCACAGCTGCGCTACTGTAAATGTTCATCTGGATGCAGCAGGCGTTTAAGAAGAGTGTTGCCCAGGAGAAAGACTCTCAGATTGCCTGCCTCTCTCTTAATCGCTCACTTGCTCACTCAGCATCCCTTCGGAAATGCACCCCCACCCTTCACACACACACACACACACACACACACACACACACATTTGAGTGCTCTATAAACAGCAGCAGCACTCTGTGAGCAGGTCAATGGCAGTATCACTGCATTTCTCTAATTGAGCCCCTGATGAGGGACTTCCTGAGCTCGCTGCCTGATGTATTCCTGCTGATAGTCACACAGTGTCAGACAACAGTGTGTGACCTGATTAAAAGACATTTCTCAAACTAGGGCACTTGCCTCTATGTGTCCAATCTCAAAGCGCAGTATTCCCAAATCACCCCCCTTTTTAACAGGACTGCCGTGTTGTGTTTGCGCTGTGGAAGATGCAGCTCTACTCTAAACAACTCTAAACAACCCTTGCTGCAGAAAGGCCAGTTTTCATGCCTTGTCCGCAGATTTTTGGAAAGTTCTTAGGTTTGTTTTGACAGTGAAGATTTAGTCCTTTACTTAAGGACGGAGTGATTACATTTCAGCAGTGATGGAGATCTGGAGTTCTCAAGTACGGGTGGCTGCAGCTGTCAATGTAATGTGTTTGACAAAGGAACTAAGCAAGGAGTGATGCTGATGAGGATTAGGTCATTTGATCTATTATCCATCCATCCATAAAGGATCTTACACACTCTTTCTGTATATATAAAGATGTATAGAATATATATGGTACAGAAATGACTGGTAACACTGATGAACCTCTGATTTTTTTTTCTTTACATATCAACAATACATGGTGGTCACGCAAATAATGGCCTCCTTAACAAATTATTGTGAAACTAAAAAGAATGGATAATTACAATGACAAGCTCTGGCTCGTAACATGAACCCCAGCATCCCGACTGATTTATCTTCATGGCGGGAGTCCTTGGTCAGCTGTTGGAAAACTTACAGTGTAGTATACACTCCAGAGTCTGTAAGTGACTCTCATAACATTTTCACCAAAGCATATCTGTACTTGCTTTTAAATACTAAAGTTAAATGAAGCATAAAGTTTCAATCATCAGAACCGCTGAGTGACCTCGTCGCTGCTACTGCAGGGAGGACACATCCCTGCCCTTGATTCATTAAAGTACGCATAAAATCATGGAGGCATGAAAAGACAGGCAGGTCATCTGTAATAATCTATCCACAGCGAGTGACAGGAAAAATGTCCTTCAAGAGACAATGAGGATTTGATTTTATGTTCCATTGCTGTAAGAACTAACTCATGCTGCGGCATCAAATTCAGAGGACCTCTGCATGCGTTTCCCACCAAACATTCAAATGGAGTGAGGTTAAAGTAACGAAAAAATGGGTTTAGTTTACTTCAAGAAGTTATTAAAAAGAATTACCGAATCAATGAATCGAATCAAAACTAATTAACCCCTACGACAAATTAAGATCGGGTTACTGGGGGTCAGTGCTCTGGGCTTTCACATGAAGATAAAAGAACGCCTTCAGCAACTCTGTGAAAAGGTTATTGAAACGTACAGCTAGGGGATGGACACACAGACATTTCCAATCACTGATATCCCTTGGAGTAAATAAATGTAGTGACTGTGCAAGATAAAGACGATTGAGGGCGGCCACCAAGATGTTATGACTCCTCTGAAGCTTTAGCAGCTCAGATGGGAGAGACTGCGCTGTCGGTTCTTCACCATCCATCCATCCATTTTCTATACACCGCTTAATCCTCATTAGGGTCGCGGGGGGGGCTGGAGCCTATCCCAGCCGACTTAGGGTGAAGGCCACGCAGGGCCACACTTAGAGACAGACAACCAAGCACACTCACATTCACACCTACTGACAATTTAGAATCACCAATTAACCTCAACATGTTTTTGGACTGTGTGGGAGGAAGCCGGAGAACCCACGCTGCACGGGGAGAACATGCAAACTCCACACAGATTCCGGTGCCCCCACCGGGACACGAACCGGCAACCTTCTTGCTGCGAGGCAACAGTGCTACCAACTGCACCACCCTGCAGCCCGGTTCTTCACCAGTCAAAGCTTTATGCAAGAGCAGAAAAGAGGAAAGCCACTGTTTAAAAACTGTTAAATCTCAACTAGAATTCATCAGCAGGCATGCAAGGGACTCTAAAGTCAGTTTGAAGATATGTCTTTGGTCTGATGAGACCAAACTTGAGGTCTTTTGGCCATCAGACTAGATGCCAAACATCGCACATAACAACAAGGACACAATCCCCACAATGAAGCACGGTGGTGGCATCATTATAATGTGAGGATGTTTCTCAGCAGCAGATCCTGGAAGGCTTGTAAAGGTAGAAATGAAGAGTTCAAGTGCAAAAACAGATAACTCCATCTTCACAAACCTTCAGAAAAACCACTTTTCTATCATTGACCTGAGACAATATCAATCAGACTTCAGTTCATTTCTACTGAATCAAATCCACTCAACTTCAGTTTGATTGATATTATCTCAAGCAAACAACAAAAAAAAGTTTTCTGAAAATCTACAAAAATGGAGTTATCTGTTTTTGCAAATGAACTCCTCAAATGTAAAATGATTGCAGCAAAGGTATAAAGAAATCCTGAAGGACACTGTGTCCCAGCAAGACAATGACCCGACCAAAGCTAAAACAGGCAACGACTAAATGTGCATGAAAAACTACCTTGCAAATGTTTTACAAGCGAGTAAATGCATTAAACATCTGCCAGGCCTCATGGACATGTACACTATTTGGGTTAGTAATACAGAATGTAAACAGGAACTTTGTTTGTTTACAGAAGAAATTCTGCAGAATGCCTTTAGGTAAAACCAGTCATAAAATACTCCATTATAAGGTAAAGCGCTGCCTTCATAATATTAGTAGTATTAGCAGTGCACAAACCAGAGGCTCTGGTCCACAGAGATGTGGAAAAAAGCGATGTGATCACATGAGTCATCTCTTCTCAACAAGTGGGCGAGTGCACCAAGATAAAGGTCTGCCTTTAAATCTGTAATTATTTTGTTTACAGATCTTTTTCTGCATTTTTTGAGAAACACAGAAGTATAACTACAACTACAAAAAGAGACAGTGGATTTACATGTTTATCATAAAAGTACATTCAAATCCCAAAAGTGTAAGACAGCTGTGCTTTATCTTACAGAACTACAGAGGATATAACTTGTGATGTGATCATAATCAGTCTAGATATACATCCTCTGTGTTATTTACAAAACACCAGAGGTAGGCGCTTACATGCTGGCTACAATCAACAAGCATTCAGTAGCTTCACTGCATTTAAAAAACACAAATCTTAGTCAAAGTCAGTTCTGCTACACGTGTACACATACAGAGAACTGAAACTGAGTTTCTCTCAAACCCTCATTTAAAAAAAACACATTTTAAAAAATATTCGTACTAAAAAATGTTTAAGATAAACATATAATAAGCTGCAAAACATACAATTTAAACATACAATAGGCTACAAAACAATACAATCTAAACATATCATAGGCAAATAACCCTTTAAATGCTGTTCTGCCAACTTCAATCAGAAACTTCTGGCAGTATATTTGCCCTGCAGTCGTTAATGTAGTTAATCTACATTTGCAATTTTCACAAATATTTCAAATTTGTTTATTGTATGAAACTGTTACGTTAAGTTTGATAAAGTAAATATAAATAAAATTAGTGACAGATAACAAAAAGTTTTTAAAATGTTATAGGTATGTTTTATATATATTATAGATAATTCCAATGTCACATGTGTAAATATCCTAAGAGTTTTTTTTTTTAAATTAATAATATATATATTACTGTATTTCATGAGTTGACAGTATTTCTAGGTGGGGCATTGCTGCTGCTTTTTTTTTCTTCAAGATATATTGATATTAAACAGGAAAAAAAGAAAACTATACCTTTCACTACTTTATTCTAAAAAATAATCACAGACATTCCTGGTCAGTTAATCGAATAACCGTGACATAAACTGTAACACTTGGACAGTCGCAGCAGCTTCATTCCAACCTGACATCTCTGGTGCTGTATAGGCCTGAAATCTAAACAGAGACGCTGTGAGCAGCTCTGTCCATGTAAGGATGTGAAGCGGAGGCAGCTCATGGCTCCGTGAAGAGACACCAGTTCAGTGTCCCTCACATCACGTAGATAAACAGCCTGCTGCAGCCTGTTGTGTTTGTGTGAAACCGTTCAAAGCGAACACATCTGCGTCTTCTTTCCGGAGACGGTGCAGCCTGTCTCCAGCCGACCGGACCGGCGGACCAGCATCTAAACTAAACATCTCCAGAGAAAACCTCCCGCGGCCGTGCGTGCGTGCGTGCATGCGTGTGCCAGCGTGCCTGCGTGAGCGCGCACGTCAAGCTGAGGAAAAGCGACCAGGATCTGACCCCGGCCGTCCACTGATATGGGAACTTTCCGCCCGAGATGATAATCTTTAGTTTAAAGTCTTTAGAAATTGCTTGAATTTCCTGAGGTTCTGAAGTCGCAGCTTTGGAGTTTTGCACCGTGTTTGCTGTCACTGCGGTGAGTCCAACTTGACTTTATTCTAACTTTAGTGGAGGTTCAGAGGATGTGTGCTGCACCTACACAGCTTCAAGTATTTCTTACTTTTTGATCAGTCATCAGCAAAGCTTACTGGAAGTATTAAAAGTAAAGAAAATGCTCCCACTCACTGTAAACAACTAAAATAATTCTTATATTGTAGATGCTTCAGGTTTGGCTGATTACATACTGTTGGGTAGATTCATCCACAGAAATGTGTCATATTTTGTATATCAGCCTGTATATCACCAAAAGGTTATCTTTCTTAAAAACAGACCTGCTTTTTGGCTTTGTGACAATATGTTTTCCAACCAATCCAAGTTTTTTTTTCATTTTATTTCGCAATACACATATTTTTGCAGCTGCCTGACTGATAACATTTTCAGCACTTTGGTCAGGGCAGGTTGTATTACTATGCAAATAAATTTAATTTGAAGTAAAACCCATCAAGGTAGGCTTACAGTGTACCAAAATTGTAAAAATGTAGTGTGAATTTTGCGTGATTATTATTATTTTTATTACTGGGCATGTCGAAATTGAAAAAAATAAAGTAAAACAAATGTAAAGTACAATATTTCCCTCAGAGATGCAGTGAAATACTTAAATCTGTACAGTACTTGAGTAAATGTACTTGGGTACATTCCACCACTGCCGCTGGTGCACGTTTTGTAAGATACTTACTGTTAAAACATAATAAAATTATATATATATATATTCCTAAACACCTAAAGTTGTCTATAAGGAATTTTTGACTTGCAAAACAGGTGTTCTTATTGTAGAATACATGTGACCACAAATCCTCTGCTTCAGTAAAAGTAAATCTACAAGTGCCCAGGTGTTACACTCAGTGGCCATTTTTTTTAGGTACATTTGTGTAATCTCATTTAAACTATTTCAACTCTTTTGCCATCAAATTTACTTTTATGATGCCTGTAATCTTCCAGCTTTTTTCTTTTTTTGGTCATTGAGGTGCTCAGTAACGGGGTCAGCGTGAGTTGTGCTGTTTTCCTGCATTCAAAACTTTAAAGTAGAGAAATATGAACAGCACTCTTGCATTAATGCAAGCAGCATTTTAATGCTAGCCGGTAAAAGTGGGGCTATTTTTAACTACACGGCTGTGGCGATGCATCCATTTTTTTCATGTAAAATATTAATCCACAAAGTAGCGAGTAGATATAAACGTGGTGGAGCAGAAGTACAACATTCCCCTCTGACAAGTGTTGAAGTAGAAGTGTAAAGCAGGGTTTTTAAAAAGTCGTACAAAACAGCACTTAAGTACAGTAATTAAATAATTATATTTCGCCACAGTGTAGGATCACAAAACTTCCTGGATTTGACTTCCACTCCATGTTTTCTTTGTGTTTTGATGTTCTTGACATGAAATAGTTTGGGAGTCCCTGCTGCAGCCTGAAGTTACACTAAACCAACAGTTTAATCTGTCTAATCAGTTTAATCTTTGGCGTTTGTTGATGTTGGGTTATGCTGTAGGAATTCTCTGCTTCCTTTTTAGAAGAATTCCTCCCCTGCAGCACACACCACCCTCTTGTCGAGCAGCACAACTTCTCCAAGGATGATAGTTCCTCACACAAACTCTCATGTAGTTTGGGATTTGAGTTTGACTAAACAGGTGGCATGCGACAACAAGAGCTTCAATTTAAATATTGTCCTCTTTTTCTGCACATATTCGCTGACGTTGTTTAAAGCAGCGATAAACATTCGAAGGCTCTGTGGAGACGCCTTCTGCGAGGACTCACTTGTTTGACAGCTTCTTCCTGCATTTCAAGAGCGCTTTGGAGACAAAAGTAAGCTTTCAACAACTGACCTATCCACCCCTGGCTGTTTTTTTTCTTTTTCTGCAGCAAAACATGGCAATAATTTCAGGACTCATCTTTCTGTGCGTGCTCCAAGCTGCAGTCCCTCAACCAGCGCCACCTCGGGGAGACAGTCCAGAACCAACTCAAGCTCCATTCCCACCTCAGCCCATACCAGGACCTGGGGACTGTCAGCGTGAGTTCATTTAATTTCTTTTCAGCTCAATAAAATATCTTGTCTTCGCCTGGATACTCTTGCAAAAGAGATTCTTAATTTTAGCAAGACTTTCCCTGGTTATATGAAGGTGAGATAGGACAGTTTAATAAATGTGGCCCCATAAGAATCAAATGGAATCAAATGTAGAGGGTGAAAAAGTGCCACATCTCCCAAGGAAATGTCATAGAGTTATAGTAGCATAAAATGAAAATACCCAAGTCAAGTGAAATTACCTTAAAACCATACCGGTGGTGGTCTCCAGATGCTTTAATTAACCTTTCTGTAATTTGCTCTATTGCAAGGTAAAGATATGCAGTGACAGTCCTCCATAAGTCATAGTATTGTAAAGCATCAGGGACATAATACTTGAAGTAATGCAAGTAAAAATAGTCAATGCAGAAACATTAAATCATCGTCAATTTGATTTAAGCTTTTGGACAAAAATTAACAAAAACAAAAAGTATGTATTATTAATTAACTGACATTGTAGAAATTTGTTTTAACTTTGACGTGAAAGAGTCCATCCATCCATCCATCCATCGTCTATACCCCGCTTAATCCTCACGAGGGTCGTGGGGGGCTGGAGTCTGTCCCAGCTGACTCAGGGTGAAGGCAGGAGACACCCTGGACAGGTCATCAGTCTATCACAGGGCTACACTTAGAGACAGACAACCAAGCACACTCACTGCCTCACTACAGACTATTTAGAATCACCACTTAACCTCAACATGTTTTTGGACTGTGTGGGAGGAAGTCAGACAATCTAGAGAGATCCCACGCTGCACGGAGAGAACATGCAAACTCCACACAGAAAGATCCCAGGTGTCCTCACCGGGACGCGCACCGGCGACCTTCTTGCTGCGAGGCAACAGTGCAACCCACCGCTCCACCTTGCAGCCCCATGAAAGAGTCTTGTCTTGTTAATAAAAATTGAAAATAAGCACAATATATTACAATACATCGATTCACTGTTGAAAACCAAAACTTCCAAGATGGTGAATCCTTTTTATAGGCACTGTACCACTAGTTCTAACCTTAAACTCATTAAAAGTCAGTTGAAACTATGTAAATAATTATAGGTGCAAACAATAAAGCATCATATATCATTAGCTCTTCCTGTGTTTGCATGGGGGCAGCATGGGGTTCGTCCTGTTGCCTCACAGCTCGAAGGGATTTACGGAGGAGTAAGCAGTGTATAGAAAGTGGATGGATGGATGTTTGTATGGACAAACCTCAAGTACTGTACTTGTCTGCATGCCCACTCCCCTGTTTCCCTACATTTGTAGCATTAAAGACCACAAACAGTGCAGTAAAAGTTATTTACTCTTTTGTCGGCGTTCTCTTCTCCAGCGAAGATCATCGACTGTCCCATCAGGCTGTATTTCACCATCGACACCTCAGAGACCATCGCCTTGCAGGAGCCCCCTCCTGGCAGTCTGGTGAACAGCATCAGGAACTTCACCAAGATCTTTGTCCAGAAGCTGGAAGACAAGGAGTACAAGGGCCAGATTGCCATTTCTTGGTCCATAGGAGGCCTGCACTTCTCCCAGACGCAGGTGGTCTTCAGCAACTTCACATCCAAAGACAACTTCACCAGGAGTCTGCAAGACATCGTATACCTGGGCAAAGGCACCTACATCGACTGCGCCCTCAAACGCATGACTTACCAAATGAGCCAAAACTACACGGGGAAGAAGCCCATCCCCTTCTCCGTGGTCATCACTGACGGCCACGTGACGGGAAATCCGTGTGGCGGGATCAAGACGATGGCGGAGAAGGCCCGTGAGCAAGGCATCCATATATTCTCGGTGGCGGCGTCCAGGGTCATAGACGACCTGGGAATGAGGGAGATAGCCAGCTCCCCCACCGAACTGTTCCGCGACAACTACGTCGTCGTGGAGCTGATCGACAACAGACTGCACATAAGCACCGCAACCATTGATCGCATCATAAAGGCCATGGTGCTCTGAAATCTTTACTCTTCTTGTCTTACGTGCTTGTATTTCAATTCATATTTAAATGTCAGTATTAATATCAGGTGATTCCCACTGACTGTTGTCTTTTCTTTGTAGGAATATCAAGCATATTTGCAGGTAAGAAAGATTCTATGTACATCATCAACAGCAATGATATTTAAAAGGGGGCGTTGATGCATTATCGCTTCTCTCTTGTCTTCTATAATTTCTGCCGTACCACATTTAATATTGTTTTTTTCCCCCTCTTTCCATTGATCTTGTAGTGTTATAAACCGTTCTGCTATGAGATTCCTGGAGGCCCTGGACCAAAAGGATCTCCGGGTCAAAAAGTGAGCATTATGAAAACTAAATTAAAGTCAGCCCTGTTCACTTCTGCAAAACATTATGTTGTTGAACTGTCGATGTTTCTGTTTGTTTATAGGGCATAAAAGGAGGCAGAGGCAATATAGGGGCAAAAGGTGAAAAGGGTAAACAGGTGAGTAGAAACTCTGTCGAGCAACTTAAACCAGAGTTGATTAAAAACACATTGTGTCGTTGTTTATCGTTGACTTTGTTGTATTTCAGGGGGATCCCGGCATTGAAGGTCCAATCGGACGACCCGGACCAAAGGTCTGCTGACGCCACCTGGTTGATGATTTTTGGTTTTATACACAATCCGTCATCATTTAATATCTCATTTATTCGTTTTTCCACAGGGAGAGATTGGTCATAAAGGCGACAAGGTGAGAGATGAATCTTTACATTCCTGCTTTTCTATTCATCTGTCAAACTGAATAAAATGCTGCCACATTAACGGGTCTGTTTTATGTCAACAGGGTGATATTGGATTAGGTGGAGCGAAGGTAAATTGCGTTTTTATGCTACGTTTACACACTCCACTACAGCATATCTCAACAGTGAGTGGTTACACAGTGTGGCTCATTTTGTCTCTCCTCTGACGTCCAAACGTTCAGGGGGTGAAAGGTGCACCTGGCAAGAATGGAACCGACGGACAAAAGGTGAGTTTAACACCAAGATGTGAAACTGTGAGGCTAATCTGTTCAATATACTGATACGATATGATCATAACTGTGAAACTCTTTAGGGTAAAATCGGCCGTATTGGAGCTGCTGGTTGCAAAGGAGATCCAGGTGACAAGGTAAGGTCCACTTCTATACTAACCATCTTATTTAATCAAATTTGTTTGGTGAAATAATGCATGTGGCTGTTTGATTGTACTATTGATCAGCCATGTTTATCGAACCATTAAAACATTTTGTGTTTGTCTCTAAAAGGGACCTGATGGTTACGCTGGGGAAGTTGGTGAAACTGGGACACCAGGGGACCCCGGAGAGAAGGTATGAATGAAATCAAAACCAAGTTAAATTTAACCCTTGAAACCCCAATCAGTTTCTGTGCTTTTTTTTTTTTTTTGTGCACCTGTCACATTTTTAGTCAATCATAGTTTTTCACTGCAATCTAAAGTCCTGCACCTCAGTGGAAACAGCACAACCATGGCTAGAAGTAGAGCAAACAAAAATATGTTCTGTGCATTATGACACCATTATATTACCACTGATTTTGAAGGGGGAAAAAAGTAGAATATTTTATTTATTTTACAAAAAATGAAAAAAAAAAAATCTTCAAGTGCCCACAGGTGTTATCAACACTGGAAATAAAGATAACTTCACAAACTATAAACAGCTTAGTACTTACATTTTTTTGTTGTTTCCATACTCGTCCTTTTCGTGTCGAGGAGTCCAGACTGTTTGGATTTGACAGAATCTGTGAGAGAGTCATATTTTGTCAAGATTTTAAAGACATGTAGAAATAAGGGGAGAAATATTACAATTTCAAACTTAGATTTGGTGAAGATTTCCAACAGAACAGCAGGTCACAGACGATTAGTCTAAAGGATTTTGGAAAACTGCTAAAGTTTATGGATTTGATTAATGGTTGAATTTGTGGTAGTTCTTGTCAAGAAAACACGGCTTTCGAATCTGCTGGGGGTTGATTCAGACATACTGAAAAGAAAGAATGGTGCAAAACTTGCAGAATGAGAACTATAAGGATCCCACATGACTGGGCCAAAGTGTAATATTCACAGTAACAAGGTGAATATCATTGAGGCAGTCAGAAAGTACATCTGGCTGACTGTGATGATCTAATTGGACTGTTAATGAAGGTTTTGATTAGTCAGGATTATGCCAGCCATGATGAGCACTACAACTAGAAAAGGCTCCGTTTTAACAGGAATATTTAACTGTGCTCACTTTAACTGAAAGGCAGCACATCACAGAGCCTTGAAGAACAGTTTCTAATGTCTTGTAGCTTGTTCCCGTAGATTAATCGTAGCAACTGCTTGAGTTCCTTGAAGACGTTCCACCTCTAATCCAAGAGGCTTCATCAGTTCTGACTGACTAGTTGGGAGTTCCAGATACTTATATGTAAAGTGTAAAAGACAACGGAGATAAACGGTGATTGAGAGATCTCTAACCAGTCGCACTATACTGGCAACAATGATGAATAATAAAAGCTTTTTTATTTTTCATAGCTTTCCGTTGATTGGCGACTCCTCTAAAACAAACAGCTGGAAAGACCATCCCTCAACAGAGGTGGAGGTCTGAGGCATCATCTCTCACCTGTTTACAATTCAGTCCTAAGATCTCTCCCCAAGAAGATGAAACCACATTCACGCCTAGCCACAAAAGACCCTAACGAACCCCATTATGGCAGGGGGAGCACTAATGACTCACATAACGAGGGGGAAGAGCAACAAACCCCTAATTGAAACCAAAACTCAGGTATTAATGGCTCCTTAAGGATACTATAGGTCTGATGTTTGACTCATTGGCGGCTGTTTTCCAAGCAATAAAATCTTCGAATTAGATGTCAACGTTCTGCACCAGCCGGAAAAAAACAGAGAAAGAAAATTTGCCATTAAAAATGCAGCAAATACCTGTTTCTGTAAATTGACGCGCCGAAGCAACATCTTTGAAATCTGCACGTTCCTTCAGTCGCCATGAAAGCGTAAAGTGCTCCTGATTCAGAGTCTGTGTCAGCTGAAAATGAGATTAATGGGATGTTTACTGAAAATAAGCAGCAAACAGGAGACGGCAATTATGAACACAATGTCAGATTGAATAGTAAAGTAAAATGGCACCGGAGGGAAGCGTCTCCGCAGCATGCCTCCCAAACACACTGATCTGCACAAGCACGCACCGTTTCTTCTGTGTAATTAGGAAAACACCTGCATGACTTGGACCGTCCCATTATGGAGACGGTTTGTGTGGGACAATGACAGGCTTCATTCAGACAGTACAGTTTATGAATGTTGGATTTTAAGACTGTGAATGGAAGCGGATGCTACAGTGTTTGAAAAGAAATGAGGGAAGTGAAGACGGATTCACTTCAGTTTGACGGAGCTCTTCTCATCCAATAAGATAATATCTCCAAAACAGTGACCTGAGTGTGAGTTTGAGTTTTGCATTTTGAAGGAAAGGAGGTTTACATTTTAATATATAATACATGTGTGAAAAGGGAAACAGGAATGGCTGTTTTTGCTGAAGACATCACCCCCTGCTCATCTCACAGCACATATCAAACACTTTAATAGAAGGACACCTATCCTCAAGAAGCTGAACATCTCAAGGTTTTCATATTTGGAACTAGTAACTAGTCAGGTTAATGCGTGTGCTATGTTAGCAGCTGCATTCTGTTGCATTCATGGAAAAATATCTTATTCTGTTCCAGCTGGACAAAATGTCAGAATGAACCATTATTGCTCCTTTTTAAAAAGCTAAATTGGCAAATACAAGTAAAACTCCCAGCAGCTCGGCAGCTATTTTTCTTCTGGTTTGTTGACATTTCTGTAGTTATTTTAATAACAAGCTTTACAACTTTATGGCTAGTATGGGCATGGTAATCTCCAATAATCCATTTGTAATCCATCCATCCATTATCTATACACCGCTTAATCCTCACTAGGGTCACGGGGGGCTGGAGTCTATCCCTACTCTTAGAGACAGACAACCAAGCACACTCACATTCACACCTCCGGACAATTTAGAATCACCAATTAACCTCAACATGTTTTTGGACTGTGTGGGAGGAAGCCGGAGAACCCGGAGAGAACCCACGCAGAAAGATCCCGGGTGTCCTCACCAGGACACGAACCTTCTAGCTGTGAGGTGACGGTGCTATCCACCGAGTCACCGTGGTAAAACAATGGTAATTCTGTTAAACCAAAGTAAAATCAAGAAAAATTGGTCTCAGCAGTTCCTTTTATGGGCGTTTTTTGTTTGTAGACCTAAAATTACATGGTAATTACATGTTTCTAAATGAGAAACTCAAAAACATCTCTAGATTCGCTTTTTTTTTTTTTTTTAGTCTAAATGTCTAAAGACAAAAAGAATATATTTGCATGTATCCTTGGTAGGCCTGTCTTGCCTGCCAGCAACTGATCAAGATATTTGGTCCTCTCTGTCTCAGATGAGCAATGAAAAAAGTTATATACAAAACCCCAAACTGTAGCATTTCTTGAGTTTTTAGACAAAAATAGTCTCAAGCATAAAAAAAAAAAAAAAAAAAACATGTTCTGGGCGCACATAATCCTTTTTGTTCTTTACGTTGGTTACTGGACAAAAACCATTTGTTCCCAAATCCTTATGATTCAGGCTTTTATTTCTCATAGAGCCAAACATTTTACAGGTCCTGTGGGTTCCATATTTTCAATTAAACCGTACCAATTAATGTCTTCAGTCGTGTATTTGAGTTGTGTTTGTGTTTGTTTAGGGTGATCCAGGCATCCCTGGGAAGTCAGGCCCCCCAGGCCCTGATGGTGAGCGAGGACCAAAGGTAACCTTCAAGTTAAAATACAGAAAGAAAAACAAAAAGTCAAACAAAAATCAAGATTTTCCTTTACTTTGAAAACTAACCTGAATTCCTGTCCTGTAGGGTGAAACTGGAAATCCTGGAATTCCAGGAATGCCAGGGGAACATGGGATTCCGGTACACAACAGAATTTAGTTTTATTATACTTGACTCCTGTATGAAGTAAGTTAATGTTTCAAAGCTGTTGCTTAAGTAAAACTAATAACTCTTGCAGGGGCCTAAAGGATTACCTGGACCAAAGGGCGAAAGGGTATTTCAAACACACTCATTTAAAAAATACTGCTTTGAGAATTTGCCATTGTTTGTTATAAATGATTATGAAATAAATTTGAACAGGGGAGTCGTGGAGACCCTGGAACAAAAGGGGGACCAGGACCTGATGGGCAAAAAGGAACAAAGGTTCAGCATGTTCTTTAATTACTTTCCCATTCATTCATTTGTTTAATTTAAATTCAATTCATTATCATAATTCATTTGTTTGTCGTTTTCAGTTTTTAGATTTGACAGCAGTCGACTTTTTACAAACTGTAACTAGTATGACTCATTTTAGAGTAGCGTGGTTTAAAAAGAAAAAAAAATAACGTGGAGAAGAACATGAGAGACGGAGAGCTGCTGATGCTGATCTGAAAGCCAAATATCTATTTATTTTGAGACACTTTCAGACAGTTTCTGTTGACCTTACAAGAGAATTTAGTGAGAACGACGAGTCCCGGCTGGCTTCTACTCTTCCAGAGAAAAGCCCATGAAACGCTCTTTTCCAGATATCTTTTGTTTCTAAGTCCCCGTAGCTCTATTTTTTTTAGATCCTCAAGAAACCTCTCCACACATTTCCCTGAAATAAAATTACTGACTTCCAACTAAGTCGTGTTTCACAGACATTGTGCAGTGATTAATGGTGTGTTGCGAGTTCTGACACATTAATTTATTTTAAAGGGAGAACGGGGGCCAGAGGGAGGCAGAGGTCGGCCAGGGGAAGACGGACTCAAGGGCTCCAAGGTGAGGAGATCACGGTGTGGGTGGATTTTGGCAAAGCGGTGACTCAGCAGCTTCCTAAGAACTCAGCAAGCCTTCGTTACAACTCCAATAGTGGAGCTGCGCCTTCGTGAACCTGCTGCCAAAATAACCCGAGCCGAGCCCGTTATCATCAAAACCTGTTTTCTAAGGAAAAGCTCTGAAACTAAAAAGCCTTTTAAAATGTGATTTGTGCAGTTCTGGGCATTGCCAAGTCCACATGAGCGTGAGTAATTCTCTGTGTGTGTGTGTGTGTGTGTGTGGGCTGGAGTCAAGGTCATGTCCAGTGAAATCATTTTGTGTTGCTTTCTCTGTCTGCCAGGGAGACCAAGGATTACCAGGACCGAGGGGTCCACCAGGAGAACCAGGGGGCCCTGGAGAAGATGTGTGTTTTTTTTTATAATATCACAATCATCTGCACTAACTCCTCAATGTTGGAGCTTATTGCTGATACAGCTTTTGTACTGTGTGGCTGCAGGGCTCTTTGGGAAATCCTGGAGAACCTGGACCAAGGGGAGACTCTGGACCACCTGGACCAACGGTGAGGAGTGGGAGTACTCAGCAAATTAATTATTGTGCACAAAACACTGCGTAACTACAACACAATGGTGCTTAATGTTATTTGTTTTCCTCTACAGGGGGACAAGGGAAGAGCAGGATTCAACTATCCGGGACCAAGAGGACCAACTGTATTGTTTTCTGTTTCACTTGTGAAATTTCCTGCATGTTCTAAATCCTCTGAACCTCAAGCTGTTTTTTGTTTCTACTACGGTCACACTTTTCACTCACTGTGGGCTCATTTTTCCTCTGCTCTATAAAGTCCTGCACCTCTACAGAAACAAAATCCTCAAATTTTGGTCACATTTGTCGCAACTGAGTCACTAATGGATTCATGGTTGCACTGAGGAGCTCAGAATTTTTTAATTTTTACAGAATCGTGCTAGACGGGAAAAAAAAGAGTCACGTAGAATAAATTGAATTTAGTAAAACATTGTAATTTGAATCTTAGATGTGACTGACTGATGAGTAGTTCGAGGACTGTCAGAGGACGGAAAATCCCACAATTCTCTGTTTATGCAGTTTTCTGAGTTTGACAAATGCTGGAAGATAACAAGCCTTTCAAACCTGCTGGTGGGGGTATCCGGGTCCAGAGGGTTAAATGTCGTGCTTGAGGGTTACTTTGCTCTTTGTAGGGAGACAGAGGTGACCCAGGCAGGCTGGGACCCAGAGGCGGCAGAGGCGAATGTGGTGCCAAAGGAGGACCTGGGAATAAAGGACCGCCAGGAGAGCCCGTAAGATTAATGACAAATGCTTTGTAAACGGAGATGGAATTGGCTTTTAACCAGAGATTTTGATCAGGCAGGAAAACAAAGGCTGATGTTCAAAAAGGGAATAACCTTAACTATGTATGCTGCTCAGCCTCTAAGTTCAAAGGTTGTGTTTGAGATCTATATGAAAGTAAACTATTTCCAAAAACAGTGTCCTGGTTACCTAGGATACTGCACAGACCTCACTGTGATCACTTTTCAGTGTGACGATTTCTTCAGTAGAAAATAGCTCCAGAGTAAATTCTTGACAAGCCGTTCCTGTGTTATCCTGGGACATCGTTTCTGGAAAGAGATGTTGAATATTTGAGTGATTTGTCCACAACAAATCCAGTTTTATCCACCTCTTAAGGCAGAAATCGTACAGATGTCGAAACCTCAGCTGATGAAACTGAGAATATGTGTAATGCATGGCTCGCCTTTTTAGAAGTTATGTGGAAAAAAAATTGACAGCATTGTACATGGAGTGATGTGTCCCTTTAGAATACAAGCAGATCCCTTATATCGCTTTGAGTGGCAGGGCGAAAATATGGCACGAAAAATAAACAAGCATGTGTTCTATATGAATTGAGCTGGGAAAGAAAGCTGTGAAGTCGGTGGATGTTTTACCAGGTGCGGCTTTGCACTGATGAGGTGTGATTTCTCCTGGGCGTCTTCGTCATCAGCACTTAATAACGGGACTATTATGTTGTGTTAAGTCATTCAGGTTGCCTCTGTAGCACTTAGTTCTTGAGAAACACAACATAAACTAATAGTAAAAGAAGCTACTAAGACCGTCTTAGGAAGGGATCACACGAGCCGCCGATGTCAACATGTTGCCATTTTGACCCGTGACACTCAGAGAGTACATGGATCAGGTCCATCCTTAAACTTGGCCTTCTCTTAGATCTCAGCTACACCCCTGTAGAGTTTTATGACTCTATCTTGCACAGCTGGGATACTGTTGCTAAAATCTGTAAAATAAATAAATAACAAAATAGAATTATTATGTTTCAGAAAAATGAGTCTATTCCACTGAAAAATGTTTTGTGTTTAGGGTCAACCAGGGCCGCCAGGGGAGCCAGGAGAGAGAGGACGCAGAGGAGATCCTGGCCTTGATGTAAGCAAAAGCACAGCCACTCAAATAATGACTTGACCAGGTGGTAAATTTGTGATCTCTCCTTGTGCTGTGGTCTGTGTGTGCAGGGGGGTCCAGGACCTGAGGGCGATCCTGGGCTCAACGTGAGTGAACTTTAAAAGCTTCCCAGATTTTAAATGAATATATTATTATTCTCTTTGATGTATTGCTTCTGCTAACGTTCATGCACGTCACTGCAGGACTGTGACGTCATGACTTACATCAGGGAGACGTGCGGCTGTTGCGGTACGCGAATATCGTCAACACTCAAAACACAGGTTCACGGTAAAGGCTCGTACGTTGTGACACGCAGACTCTCTTTTTGTCTTTTCTCTCAGACTGTGAGAAGCAGTGCGGAGCTTTGGACATCATATTTGTGATTGACAGCTCGGAGAGTATCGGAGAAACAAACTTCACCCTGGAGAAGAACTTTGTTGTCAACACCGTCAACAGGCTGGGATCTATGGCCTCTGACCCCAAGTCGCTGACCGGTACAGTCAAGCAAAAAAACTCAGCATGGACTCCACTGTAACAGACAAAGATGTAGAGATTCCTAGGAAGAATTAACCTTTTTCAAAGAGCGATTCACTTAATCTGCCACATAGGGTACAATTATAGACAAAAAACACTTGGACAAGTCCTCATGTGGACCCTGTACTCCTGATTTAAGCTACGATTGTGCAGAAACAACTAAACACTAGTTGTTGTTGTACATCTTCAGCCATAGAAAGCATAAAAAGTGAATATTTCAGCTTTACACCGCAGTCAGTTAATGTTCAAGCTGTGACCACAACATCCAATTAATTGGAAAATTGCTTAATAGCACCACTTTCTTTAGATTACAAGTATTAATGCATATATTTTAAGCAACTAAAGTATGACTGATGTATTTTTATTCTGTGCCACAGAGCTACATAAAGCCACAAGAGAGTCCAGGGTGACATAACAAAGAAACGCACTGTAGTTTAAATCCATCCCACAACTGTCCTGCTGCTGCTGCTAATACTTAAAAGTAGCCCAAACAAATGCCCATTTTATAGCAGAATAACATTTACTTAAAAAAAAAAGAGGCACATTTCTGATGTAGTTTTAAAGATCTGCAGACAGTTTTTGTGGGATTCCTTGACAATTAAAATGCAAAGCAAGATCAGCCTGAACCTGAGAACTGATCTGTGACCTCTTCTCCATCTTCCAGGCACAAGAGTCGGAGTCGTACAGTTCAGTCACTTAGGAACCTTTGAGGCTATTCTTCTCAACGATGCAAACATAAACTCCATGTCTGCCTTCAAAACGGCAGTGAAGAACCTGAAGTGGATCGCCGGGGGCACCTTCACGCCATCAGCCATGAAGTTCACCTACGACACCCTCATCAAGACCAGCAGGAGAGCCGGAGCGAAAATAAACGTGGTCGTGGTCACAGACGGCCGCTATGACCCCAACGACAATGACGACAGCAAACTCAGGTCCCTCTGCCACCCCGGCGTGGATGTCAATGCCATTGGGGTTGGTGACATGTTTGACAAGATACATGATAGCGAGACTCTGCGGTCAATAGTCTGCAACGCTACGGGCCGCATCACTGCCATGAAGCGTTACACTGACTTGATGGCTGAGGACTTCATGGAACGCATGGAAACTGTTCTGTGTCCCAGTAAGCCTGAACCTACACACTCAGCAGGATGACAGTAGAGATCCTTCCAGCATTTATCTAACCTATCTGATTTTCTTTCCAGATCCAATAATTAAGTGCCCTGATCTCCCCTGTAAAAACGGTAGGTTCTATTAAGGACCAGATTATTGGTTTAGTGTTGGCATTAAGTGCAGCTCAGTAAGCGATTTGTGTTTTTTTCATTACAGCACCCGATGTAGCGCCGTGTGTCGGGCGCCCAGTGGATTTGGTATTTCTATTAGATGGCTCGGAGCGCCTCGGGACAGAGAACTTCCGCTATGTTGGAGAATTTGTGCAGAAGGTGGCAGACAGACTGGGACTGGCCAGGAGCAGGTCTGATCGAATGCGAGCCCGTCTGGCGCTGACGGAGTTTGGCAGGGAGTATGAGAATCATGTTGCTTTCCCCCTCACACATGACCCAGTCACCATCAGTAACGGCATGAGAGCCTTACCTTATCTGGACTCTTCTTCGAGCGTGGGGCCCGCCATCTTCCACACCATCGATAACGTCTTGGGCAGAGGAAACACTCGCCAAACGAGACGCCACGCAGAGCTTTCATTCGTTTTCATCACAGACGGCATCACGAACAGCAGCCACCTGGACGAGGCGGTTAGCGCCATGCGCGGGCAGCAGGTCGTCTCCACAGTGATTGCCACGGGAAGTGACGTCGACCAAGAAGTCCTAACGAAGCTGGCCATGGAGGACCAGGACGCCATTTTCAAAATACAGAAATACACGGATCTGGTGGACTCCAGGTTCTTTGACCGCTTCCTCCGGTGGGTGTGTTAAAGAGAGTCCCTGCTCATGTGAGCGCTGTACTGGTGCTAACGCTGTTAATCTAGCATTTTAAAGGATATTTCCAGTTTATTTCAGCTTGGTGTATTTACCATTTAAGGACCAATGTGTAGGAGTTAGTGGCATCTAGCAGTGAGGATGCAGGCAAGTGAATACTCCTCCCTTTACAATTGTAGAAGAGAAACTATGATGGCTGTCACTTAAACATAAAAAGCACAAGGCTCTCTTTGGAGCTAGTGATTGGTTTGTAGAAATACACTTAATAAAACAGTGAATCAGTTATAGATACATTCCATTTCAGCCAATAGATCCCCTAAATCCGACACAGAGCCAGACCGTTCTCTAGTGCTGTGCAGAATGGTCTGACTACACCTAATTACCATTCTGCTATATCGAGGGGAAAAAACCTCTGGTGCGTTTATATTTCTGTAAATCAATCACAGCCGTCTTGGGGGGGAGCGAAGATTAGGATGAATCATCTGTGTTCCCTCAAAAATAGAGACATGGGAATTGTTTTGGTGGAACATTTGCATGCAGGCAGGCGAGTGCTGTCACTAAAATGGATAATTAACTGAAAAAAAAAAAAGTAGGAGAGTTGGGGTATTACACGATGCACACGTTTTGTGTGGTATGTTGCTGCCTGAAGGTAGTTGTTGTTTCCTGTAGTGATGGAGATTTTGAAAATGGTAACGCACAGATAGCAGAAACGTGTGGCAGCAGCAGGCAATCTAGTGTATATCTGGTGAGTCAGACTAGACTGAAAACACAGACAGAAATTTGCTGCCTGGAAAGGACCTTTCGCTAACTGCATTAGAGATTGCCATCTGGCACAACCTGTCAGCTGACTTAGTTTCCCTGGGTGCGTTGTCTTGTGCGACAGTCAATTTGCCTTTTTGCCTTTGCGCCTTCCATTTGATTCACATCCTCATGTGTGGACTCCGGTTCGAATAGATGTGGTCGATCATTACACTAAAAGGACTTACAGTCATCCACGATGTGATCAAGTTTCCAGAAAGCCAGCTTGCTTTTCACAAGCTATATGCATTTACTGTTTCTCGAGTGCTTTTTAGTTCTTCTAGTGTTGTGAATAGTGAGTTGATTGGTTCTTCTTGTCCAAAACATTTCATTGCAGGTTAACACACAGTTAATGTTTTGATTTCTGTGGACTTCTGATCAAATGTATGAAAATGTTCATGAAAACATGATTTTTTTTGGAAAGCTGCACAGAGGTCTCGCTTGTTGATATAAGTTGTTCGTACGACTCACATTTCCAAATCTCTAAAACAAAAGTTAGCATGACTAGATATGCCATGTTGAAATAAACTGGAAACTATGCGCTGTACAATTTGCAAATAATGTCACAGCATTGTGCTTTGTACCATTTTGTCAAAAAAAACTGTATTCATCTTTAGTATTTTGTTACACAGAAATATAATACAAGCCATGCATTCTTTATCGACCATTAAGCTTTCCTGATTTGACATAATAAAGCTGCAGCTTGGAAGACGCCGCAGTGCTGTCTTCTGTAAAGTCCTCAAGCGGTTCTAGTGCACAAATATCTCAAGTGTTCTCATCCAGCATTAAGAGTCATAAAAATTACAATAATTCTGACATTCAAAACAAAACACATAAATCCTTCACCTGAATCACTTTGAGGAGTTTTGTGAATTCTAAAGACAACTGTTTTTTATAAGCATGTGTAAACTACATTTGAGTTTAACCCTGTTTTGTGCATGCACCTACTCAACATCACCAGTTACAGTCAGTTTGGTCTCCACAGTTTACGGCAGAACAAAGGACGGCTAAACGGGTTTGGTCTGGCAGCGTTGAAAGGGTGCATTCTTGGAATTTCTCTTAAAGTCCAGTGTAGACACTCCTACTGCCTCCCTTCTTACATCATGTCCAGCTGCACAGGAAGAAGAAAAAAACATGTATCTGAGGACTTAATAAGACCAGGCACATTTACCACACACAGGCTGTGTCACATCCTGCAAATAAACTTGGAGTGGCTTTGACTCGAGTTTTAGTCACAACAGTCATATAAATATTTAAAGATAGAAAAGGGCTGTCTCGGTATATATATCTATAAAAAAAAGCAGAAACACTTACCAGGTCATCAACATCTCCAGTGTCTTCAACTGGTGGCGCAGCGGCCTCCTCTTTCTTCTCCTCAACAATGAGGAACTGAGGATAGAGTAGGTTTCAGTCAGTAAAAAGGACCTTCCCAAGTTCACTTTAAATTCACACGTGTAACATCTATACACACAAATCACCTGATTGGCTTCGGTTTTGGATACGGTGCTTCCTTCCACCTCGTCTTTGCTGATCAGAGTCACGGCATCTGTCAATCAAACACCGAAAATGGAGTCAGACTCCAGACTATGGAGCAGACCTGTGCTGCGATTTGTTTCAGGCATTCATTTCCATTTTCATGTCATTTACTTGTCTTGCACCCAAATTATGTGGAACTTTCATCTCATCTCAGGGGAGGAATGATTTAAAAGAAACCCTGCAGCCCCAAGTAAAGAGGCTTATCATACCTTGAACAAGCAGGTCCCAGAAGACTTCCAGCCCCCTGTTTCCGATGCTGCTTTTCAGGGACTGGAGGTAGCTATTGTACAGATCAGCATTCCCCAGCTGAATGGGAAAAAAAAGAAAAAAAGATGTGAAACATTCAAATTCCATTTAAGGGTCTTGTAAAGGCTCACATCTACATGCAGACACATAAGCACATACTTGCACAATAAGCTCGAATCCCATGAAAAGAAACAGACTCATTGTAATCTTCAGGACTCATAATCTCCATAGAAAAGCCGAAGTACGCGGCTCGACAGAAACCACCACATCATCATGTACTTCCCAAATGGAGGATGTTTATTTACCTTAACTGACTGCTCTCTGAAAGCCTGGATACAGGTGATACTTTTCATGTAGTACGGTGTGTCCTTGTTGCTAAGCAACTGCTCTATCCTGTGAGTCAGTTGCTGACAGACTGGAAGGACACGGGGGTCACCACAACCAAACAAAGAGACAAACACAATTACAAGGGCTTGAACATGAGTCATAATGGTTTAGAATACAACCAGAAAACAAGTTTATCTGGGCAGCTCGTCAAAGATAAAGTCCGGAAAACTGGACCTCACCCTCTCCGAACGGAAGAGTCTTCTGCTTGATCAGAGTGCGGAAGTCTCGGGCTGGATCCACGCTTCCCACCTGCGTAGTCGGTGAAATGCAAATTTTATAATACAGCTGGTAAAATCAAGCAATGGAGTACTTTATCTAGAAAAGCTGATTTTTAAAGGATTATTGTGTCATCCAGCTCCTCTGATTCTCACCGAAGTGACAGAGCCCTCAGCAATGTCAGCCAGGTTATACTCCTCCTCTGCCTCGTCTTTAACATTCTTGGCATCCGGCTCTTCGGCGCTGTGAATGACAAAGGAGGCTGATTAGAATCCCGAAAATAGTTTTAAATGTTTCACATTTTTGCAATCAGAAAATGTCAAACACAGCCACACACACACTTACAGATGACTCCTGTAAGACAGTTAAAAAGACAAATCCCATAAATTCCACTTCAAAGTTTTTATGCCGTCTTCTGTATTAATATTTTTCGCTACATAAATACTTGCATAACGACACCCTTGACATTCAAAGACCCGCCAACACACTGAATCCAAACTTACTCTTTGCCAAAAATCTGAGCACTAGTCTTGAGTTTCTTTTTCTTCTCCACTTCGGTGAGCGGGAACTTCCTCTTCATCTCCTCTAGTGGAGCCCGGCAGCGTTCTTTAATGACCTCGGGGCGATCTAGAGCCGCCTGCAGCCATGGCTCTATGGTGGGAAGGGGTGTACCAGGGTTTACTGCCCGATGATGCAGACACTGAAGAGAGGTTGGGAGGAGAAATAAAACAATTGGAGACCAAATTTCAACAATCGCTAGCTGGTTTAACTCTTGTCAGACAGATTAAAGCTTTTGCTTGAAAGTTGAAAATGACATCCACATCTCCTCAATAGATTTGCCGTCTGCTTCATCCCAGAAGTACCAGGAGAGCAGTACTGTGTCTCTGAAATACAAAGTGGACTGCAGTACCTGGAAGTGCCTCTGGAAGGCAGGGTTGGGAATGTTGTGGGGCTTGAGCAAGTCCTCCTGCTCTCCATTCTCATCTTCTTTCACCAACATCATAGAGTCAATGAGAGAGTCTACGGCAGACAGCTGAGCGTCTGGAGGAATCAAACAACAGCAGAAGCTCGTTCACATTCATTCCTCCGTGTATTAAGGGTTCTCACTTCTCTTTAAATGCAGTTAAGCAGCGTCAGTGATGTAAAGCTGTGTCAGACCACAAAGCCTAAATCTGAGCCAAACATAAACAAGTCAAAGCCGGTATTACTTCTCTGGGATACTGGAACCCCACTGTGCAGAATGAGCTACAGTATATTCAGAGTTTAGTGCTAGACGACAGTTTTCAAAATCTCCTGCACGTTTGAGCTCATCCAAAATCCAAGTTTACAGTGTGTATCTGCAAAGAAGCCAATCTTGGTCCAATAGGTGACCCACATAACTGTTAACCTGAACATTTTATCCTGCATTGCACAACACTGAGTATGATCTTTCAGTGATGTGCTGCATCTAGCAATTACATTTTTCAAATGAAATATCTAATTATTCATGTATTCTGAATTTTTTAATCAGAAAAAAGCCAGTGTAGATATCACATTCTGACAGACATCCCGGATGAAAAAAAAACATAAAACAGACTCATATTATTATTCAAAGCACATATCTCATACATCTCCAAGCATGCCCGGAGGGGATCCTTAAGTAATAGCAGCCGTTATGAACTGAAGATGTAGACATGGTGATGTATGTGAATCAACCACATGCAAGGAAACATAGTGAAACCATTTATACCGTCTGTAGCTGACGGAAATATATTTACGCCTGGTCTAAATACTGTATTTGCTGCTGTGACGATACAGATTGTAAAGAATCGGCAGTCAGTTAAACATGCAAATTTGTGAGTGTGTGATAAGCCAGTTCCTTGCGGTGCTTCATATGGAAACAGAACTTACATCAGAGCTTTAAAGAGCCAATGTTTACATGTTGATATAATATTTTGGGGGCTGACTAGAAAGTGTTTATTAGTTTAATGTTAAAATAGCTTCTTTTTTTTTCTCAGACTGCAGCACCTCTTTTTATTTGCTGTCTGAAATGCTCCATTTTAGCACCTCTCTTTGAGGTCCCCTTCCTGATAAGTGGAGTCTGCTCCGGAAAAAAAGCGAGGTAATGTGGGTTACGTACCGTGAAAGAAAGCTGCTCATTCTTTGTTTGAGGGCATACCAAAGTAGCAGCTAGGTAGGTGTTATGCAAATGTGTCAGGAGAGGTGGGTTTTTTTTGTGGGAAAAAATAAGTCAATTTGGCATAAATTTTGTGCTTTGTAACATGCACCAAAAAGGGCCATACAACACACTAAAGCAAGAGAATGATAAAAAAAAAAAAAACATAATATGAGCGCTTTAAGGGAAGACAACATACAGACAAAGTACCTGAAGGAGTGAGCTTCTTGTTTTCCAGAGAAGGAAATGTAAACTGTCTGAGGTCTTCCACGAAGGGCAGCTGGACGTACATCAAACACTACGCAGGGTGAAAGAACGAGGTAAGGATTGTTACTTCTGTGTTATCTGACACAGACTTAGTAAATATACAGTCGTGACTCGATGATCCGACACTAAATGTAAAACCGTCTTTTATGTCGGATAGCAAAGCTGTCGGATTGTCAAGACGGAGGTCGAGATACAAGGAGGGCTTGATGCTTGAAGGCTCATTTGTTGCCAATTGTATTGTTCTTTCTAGTCTCTGGATATTCAGGCCCAATTAATGATGAATATCTGAAAATTCGGCGCGGGCGGTGGGGCACTTCCACCCCGGGGTAGCGCTCTGACGGGGTGGACGTGGCCGGAACACACAGGCAGTATTTGGCTGCTGATGCCAGTTTAGGATAGCGGCCACAGTTCTGTTTCCATCATCAGCACCGCCGCCACCGCCACCATCCATGTTTACTGAGCACGATCACTGTGTGTGATGTCATTGGTTCCTCTTCAGCTCATGCGGGACACTTTTGGGTCGTATGAAGCTCACACAGCAGATCACATACAAGTCGCATTTAACTGGAAATGTAATATTTTCACAAAAAAATCTGAATTGAGCATTAAGTCCTGCAGTCTGAACGTAGCCGATCTGTGAGATTGTTCAGTCAGATAATACGCCGTTATCCTTATTTGTGACATAAAATGTCACGTCAGAGTCGGAATCCAAGGCTGTCGGTATGTTAAGGCTACTTTTCATGGGCTCCGTTTGTTTTTCCTAAAAACTTGTCAGATAGCAAGATTTTCAGATTGTTAGGGGTCGGACTCTCGAATCACGACTGTACTTGACAAACAGCAACTTCAGGTCCATGTTCTCACCTCATGGTCCTGCTTGATACACGGGAAAGCTGCACCCACTT